AACAGCCACAGCGTGACTCAGATGCTTTCAGATGGAGCCCGGTCCCGCTCCATGCTGCTGCCTTCCCAGCCTCCGGAGCCGCAGGAGATTCTGTGAGTTAGCAGACAATGGATGTCTCTCCTGTGTTACCTTCTTTTTTTTAAATCCATTTTATTATTTTTAAAATTTTATTTATTGCCGGGCATGGTGGTTCACACCTGTAATCCTAGCACTTGGGAGGCTGAGGCAGGAGGGTCGTTGCGAGTTTGAGGGTCAGCCTGGGGCTACAAGGTGAGCTCAAGGCCAGCCTGAACTGCGTAGCGAGACCCTGTCTCAAAAAGACCAAAAAAAAAAATAATAATAATAATAATATTTATTTATTTATTTATTATTGCCTTTTTGAGACAGGGTCTCGCTACGCAGTTCAGGCTGGCCTGAAGCTCACTTCATAACACAGGCTGGTCTTGAACTTGGAACAACCCTCCTGCCTCAGCCTCCTGCCTCAGCCTCATGAGTGCTGGGGATTACAGGCCTGCATCACCACGCCTGGCTCTTTTTTATCCATTTTAAAGAGATTTAAGGAACTGGCTGGGCTGATGTTACCCAGGATTGTAGGTGGAGAGGGGCGGGTGGGGGCTAGAACCTCAGCTGCTGACTGAGCTGTGGTCACAGAGTCCTGGAAACCATTTAGCCTTTCCCCTTCCCCAGTCCTGGCCTGAAATTCCCCTCTGAAGCTCGACTACTTTAGCCTAAATCTTTGAGCCCTGTCGTACCCCAGGGTGAGTGCTGCCAATCACTGCTACCACTGTGGGAATGACTTTTCCTGAGAAAGGAGAACGCCCCTGGCTCCCTGTCCCTGTTGGACACTTGCATCTGTGTGTTTTTAAGCTTCTCCAAGGCAGGTGCCGTGTCCTCTCTGTCCCCGGCGTCCGGCCCCAGGCCTGATTGAAAGAGGACCAGGAACTCCGGTTGGAATGAACACATGGATGAGCGAACTGGGTTCTCTCCAGAGCAGGCCTGTCTCCTCTGGACGCTGCTCTTGGTACCAGCATCCCCACCTGCCTCACGGGGCAAGCTCTTCTCTCGTTCTGCCCCTCTTGGTCCTTCTGCCGAAGTGGGAAAGCCTCCCTGCTTCCCACATTGCCCTGTCTGTGTGACTTTCCTCAGATGCTCATGGCTCCTCACGGCTGGGATTGTTTTTTTTTTTTAAATTAGTACATTTGCGGTACATCATGATCACATTCCTCGTGGGGAGTTGAAACATGCGCATAACACATCATAATTCTTTTATTCATCCTCTTTCCCTTTCTTTACACCCTCCTCCCTTCATCTCTTGGTCCCCTTTTCTCTTGCAAAAGATCTATTTCCTTTGCTTCCTATTTTTTTTTCCAGTACCGGGAATCGAACTCATGACCTTGTGCTTGCCAGGCAGGCGCTGTGCCGCTGAGCTAAATCCCCAGCCCCCTTGTTTCCTATGATCTAGCTTTTATTTTTGCTCTTTATATTTTGGGTTTCTCCTATAAGAGAAAACATGCTATATATTTAAGCCTGTGTGTCTGATTTAATGGCTTGCGTTTATCCTTCCTTATGGCCGAGTAGTACTTCATCGTGTATAAACGCTACATTTTCTTTATCCAGCCATCTGTTGATGGACATATCGGCTGCTTTCAAGAGTTAGCCAATATGAATTGTGCTGCTATGAACATGGGTGTGTATGTATCGGGTGATATAATGTCTGTAACTCTTTCAAGGAGATACCTACAAAGGACATAGCTAGGTCAAATGGAATTTCTAGTTTTAGTTTTATGAGGAATTTTCATACTGATTTCCATAGTGGTTGTACTAGTTTACATTCCCACCAACAATGTAGAAGTGTTCCTTTTTCCCCAAAGCCTTGTCAGCACTTTTTTGAGACAGGATTTTGCTCTGCGGTTCAGGCTGGCCTTGAACTCACTTTGTAGCCCAAGCTGGCCTCGAACTCACAGCGATCCACCTGCCTCAGCCTCTCCAGTGCTGGGATTACAGGCATGTGCCACCACGTCCAGCTAAGTTGCCCATTTTTTGATTGGGTCTTTTATTTTGAGGGGCTCTCATTTTTTAAAGCTTTTTATAAATTCTAGATACTAGTCTTCTGTCCAAGGAATAGCTGGCAAAAATGTTTTCCTATTCTGTAGGTTGCGTTTTTGCTCTGTTGGTTGTTTCCTTTGCTGTGCAGAAACAAATCTGATATGATCTCATTTGTTGATTCTTGGCACTATTGCTTGTTCATTTGGGGTTCTGTTTGGAAAGTCCTTGCCTACACCTATGGCTTTAAGACTTTTACCCTTGTACTTTCTAGCAGATGAGATTGTGTCTCTTTTTCCACACAGTGTGAACACATAGCAGACAGATTGCTAAGAGCAGTTGAGACAGGAATGGTAGCTTGCTGGGAAGCTGTTTCCTGATATTTGCCTGACAAGGGCATCGAAGAACAGTCTGTGGTGATTAAAGTGACTTGCCTGCCGGTACCAGTTAGAGCTTGTTTGGTCACACGTGACAGAATACTCAGGAAGCAATGGCTCAGATAAGAGATATTTGTTTCTCTTTCATGTAAAAGTCCACAGGTAAATAGTTCAGGGCTAACAGATTAAGTCCTCACTCACCAGGGACAAGTCTTGTGTTTTGTTGGTCTACCATCTGCAACAAATAGCTTCTACCTTATGGTCTAAGATGGCTGCTTGAGCTCCAGACATCACTGATGTATTGTAGGCCAGGCATTGGGGTACATACCTGTAATCCCAGTCACTTAGAAGGGTGAGACAAGAGGATGACAATTTTGAGAACAGCCTGAGCAACTTAGTAAGACTGTTAAGACTCAAAATAAAATAGTTAAAAGGGCTAGGATGTAGCTCAGTGATAGAGTGCTTGTGTAGCATGCACAGGGCCCTAGGTTCAATCCCTAGCAACACACACACACACACACACACACACACACACACACACACAGCCTTCCCTACTATCAGCACTCACTTTGCAAATCACCATTTATTTACCTAAACATTTCTTGAGCACCTTCTATATGTCAGGCCCACACATCTACCTTCTGGGTATTTTTCTAAATCTCTTTGAAAATTGTATCTTTAACCTGCACTCTCTTTAACAGTGAAGTTGTTAGCTGGGCATGGTGGTGCATGCCTGTAATCCCAGCACTGGCCTGTAATCCCAGCACTCGGGAGGCTGAGGCAGGAGGATCGTTGTGAGTTCGAAGCCAGCCTGGGTTACAAAGTGAGCTCAAGGCCAGCCTGAACTGCATAGTGAGACCCTGTCTCAAAAAGACCAAAAAAAAAAAAAAAAAGTGAAGTCGTAACTCCTTAAATTAATCACCTTCTAGCTTTCCAAGTCACAAGGTGGGCTGAAGGGATTTGGCAAACACATTTCCCTCTCTGCGTCTTTGGGAATCATAGAGATGGCCATGTTTCCTCTTCTTATCTTTGCCTCTTCAGTAGGAAGCATTTAGTTCTTTCGTCTACTCAAATGCCTTCTCGTCAATTCCTGATTCCTTGACTATGTTTCTCCAGCTCTGAGATAGGCCTCCCCTGGTCCCAAATCAGAAAGGCTCTGCAATCCATAACCAGGCAGGAGCATGTAGGAGAAGCGCCTGGAATCTGGCAGGCCTCCCCAGCAGCAGCAGCAGCAGCAGCAGCCAGGGATGATGCCAATCACAGGCACAGTCTCAGGGACACACTGGTGCCCAGCACCAGCTCAAGCCTTCCCGTGCATCATCTCACGCGGAGAATCCGCATAAGCACCCCAAGGAGTAGGCATTGCTCTCCATACATAGGGACAGCACATCAGGAAGCTCAGAGAGTGCGGGTGACCTGCTCAAGGTCACCGAGCATGTGGGCGGTGAGGCTGGGGCTCAAAACCAGAGCTTGGTGTGTGCAGAGGCCTCTGGGCTCTGCCCTGTGTGCACCCCACTGTGAGACCCCTTTGGACTCTGGAGCTAGCATCCCCAATGTGTTTACTGCTTCTTGTCACATTGAAGTAATAACCCTATAGAAACCAAACTCTAGTTCCGTTTCAGCCGATGTTTGAAGCAAGCTGAGGCTGGAGTCAGTGAGGGCTGGGGCATGCGGCTGGGCCCCTGGGCCAGTACCTTGGGAGCCCAGCTGTGCTGCTACCTAACCGTGAAGCTCTGGGCAAGGGCCCCCTCTGTCGGCCTCAGTTTCCGTCTGTGGCACTGCGGGCTCCTGCAGCGCTGATCTGCTTTACTGTGCAAGTTCGCTGGGCAGCTCCTGAAGCAGGGAGGGAGTGGAGAGGTTTCCCACCGAGCTCAGCCCGCCCCGGCTGCTGCACCCACGTCTTCTGGCCTTTCCACCTGTCTGCGCCCCTGGGTCTGGGCTTGTCTGCTGTCCCCCACCAGTTCTCCTAGTGGGAGTGGGGGCGCATCACAGGCCCGGGTACCCGTGTCTCCAGCTCCCACCCCTGCCCGGGGTGCCCAGCCCCTTACCCCTTGCCCTCAGGTGGCTGCTCAGGGAGCCTGGGGTCCCCCACCTGCGTCTTCTGGGAACACAGGGGCGTCCGTGTTTCCTCCTCTGGTCTTTCACCATACCTTTTGTGCATATTTGTCAGATCAGGGGTCCTTGCAGCAGCTTCGTGAGCCCGTAGTATCAGCCCCGTTTTGCAGACAAGGCACTAAAGCTCAGAGGTGTGAACGGCTCTGTCTAGACTGAACTGAGGTTCAAACCCAGGTCTGCGTCACCGCCTTGGGCCACACACGCCTTTGAATTGCTACATTTGCATGACTGCACTAGAGGTGGAAAGCAAGTCCATCCATGGTCTTCTTGGTGCGGCTGGGCTACGGCTTCTGTGTGGCCCGGTGGAAGAGGGTGGTCTGTTTGTGCTTGGTGGCGGGTATAGGATGGAGGAGGAGTGGAGTTCAGAGGGCAGCAGGATTTTGTGTGCATCTGGAGGGTGAGGTCGTGGAGCTGAGGGTCTCAGCCAGCCCAGCATTCTGACCCTCTGTCCACACTCCCTTCCAGGTCCTGGAAGGAGACCAGGCCATCCTGCAGAGAATCAAGAAGGCCGTGCGGGCGATCCACAGCTCTGGCCTTGGTGAGTGAGGTAGCTTGGTACCCTGGGCCCAGCCTGGAGCAGACGCTGAGCCCTCTCCCACCTCTGCAGGCCACGTGGAGAACGAGGAGCAGTACCGCGAGGCCGTGGAGTCTTTGGGCAACAGTCACCTGTCCCAGAACAGCCACGAGCTGTCCACGGGCTTCCTGAACTTGGCTGTGTTCACCCGGGAGGTGGCCGCACTCTTCAAAAACCTGGTGAGGCCGCTTGTTTGGATTTTCCCTTGACCTCTGACCCATGACCTGGGGTCTCTTTGCAGCTTTCACTCATCTTTACGTTCTCCTGCTTTTCCTCTGAAGGAAAACTGTTCTTTGTTCTCCTATTCCTTCATCCTGGAGCAGAGGGGCTGTCACCACTGCCTCTCCTCACCCCTCTTTGTCCTCTGCTTTGCCTGCGGTGTCTGCTTCACCTTCAAATCCCACAACTGCCTCCAACTCCACAAGTCTGTCAGCCCCACACATGGCCTGGTGGCGTCCATGATCCTCCCGATGGCCTCCTGAGTGACTGTCTCCTCAGTCCTTTGATTCCCCATCTTGGGGCCGCCCCATGATACCAGCCCCTGCCATGGACAGGCCCAGTTCCCAGGACCTCCCATACGCGAACTCCTCTCACCCTGGCGCATGGCTCTGTGGGGCTGTTGTACTGTTGTCCCCACCTCACAGCCCTGGAACCTGGAACACAGGCAGTATTGTGCCTGAGGCCCTCTGCTGGGTTTGAACCCGGGTTGTCTGGCAACACCTGGCTGTGCTGTGTTCTGGAAGAGCCTCACCTGCCTCCTCAGCTGTGTGGCACTGGACTGGCCATTCACTCCAGTCCTGCTCAGGATCCCGTCTGGCTCACAGGGGCTGCGTCCCCTCCGAGAGGCCGTGTGTGTGGTGGTCAAGCACTGCCTGTGGGTTAGCCGCTGGCCTGGAGTCCCTGCTCTGCTGTTCTGGAGTCACACCATCAGCTTGCCTAAGCCCCTGGTCTCTCTCATCTGTAGGGCTGGGGTGACAGTGGCACCTACCTCATAGGAAGCAAGTTGAGGGCCCGTTCCAGGCAGGCACTCAGTAACGGGTCACTAACATGGTGTCAGTTGAACCTGTGCCCTCCTCTGCCTTTGGCTCTCCTCTCCCTGTTTCAGCGACATGAGGGTGCTCTAAGGGTCTGCTTTCTGGTGGCCACTGTCCTGCCAGCCGATTATACAAGAAAGGGTCAGGGACTGCCTCAGAGAGCCGCAGTCTGTTGGGGGAGACAGGAACTGAGGTGTGGGATGACATCAGCCGTACCAGTATTGTGGCACAAACTTGAGGCCCGGTGGGTGGGGTCTGCCTAGTGGAGCCATGTTCAAGAAAGGGATGCTCAGCACAGGTCAGGCAGCAGTGCTTTGCAGGGCCTTCCTGGAGGAGGGGAGACCCAAGCTGTGTCTTGAAAGGTGGGTTGAAATATTAGGCCTCCTTGGGTCATCAAAAAACAGAAACCCAACTCCAAGTAGGTTAAATTTTTAAAAGGGCATTTATTGGTTCCTGTAACAGGAAGGCCAGGGGTGCAGCTGGCTTTAGGCTCTGTCCCTTTCTTAATTTCTCTGTCTCTGCTCAGTGAAGAAGACAGACCAGGCATCCTGGAGGAAGACAGTCTTTCCCCTGGGGGGGCGGGGAAATCCCAGGGAGGATCCTTACTGGCTTGTCTTAGGTCCCATGTCTGTGCCTGACCCAATCACTGTAGACCTGAGGCAGGTGCTCTGATCAGATTGGCTGCTGTGGGTTCCCCACAGGAAGGGGCTTCTCTTGCCATTGGAAGGGGAGCCACAGAGCTGGCCATGTTGGCCTGAAAGTCAGGAGAATTGAGGGGGCTCCTGGTAAGGAGCAGTGGGGAGACTGACCAAGGGACTAGGGAGGAGGTCCGTCCCGGAGTAGTGAGGTGATGCCAGGCAGTCAGGGATGCCACCTCACCATCCCCCAGCTCCCCGCCATCGTCACCTTCTATCTCTTTCTCTCCCTACTTCCTGCGCCCTCATGGTGCCCTTTGCCTTTCGATGGTTCACTGTGCTGAGGCCCTCGGGGCTGAGCAGTCACCCACGGCAGGGGTGGTGTGTGCTTTTTCCAGGTTCAGAACCTGAACAACATTGTCTCTTTCCCGCTGGACAGTCTGATGAAGGGGCAGCTGAGGGACGGGCGGCAGGTGAGTCCCTGCAGGAAGGGAGACAGAAGCAGAGAAGGGGTGACAGGGGAAGCAGGGTGGGCCTGAGGGCGAGGCCCAGTGAGGGGCTGTCACAGAGGGAGTGCTGACTGGCGGCCCCTCTGTACTGCTGCCCGTGGGGGCCAGAGGACCTGGCTGTCCTACTGCTTGCGGCCTGTGAGGTTGGGTCTGTAGTTGCCTGGTCCCCATTTGCAGGCCCCAGGAGAAAGGTGAGCCGCTTGTGGTTTCCATAGCTAGTTAGGGAAGGAGGCAGGGGGGGATCTGGCCACTCTCTGCACCTGGCAGCCCCAGCAGAGTGGAGCTCAGAGAAAGTGCCGGGCTAATCTCCCCGGCACTGGGCCTCAGAAGGCCCAGGGGAGGAGCTGCCCTCCCTCGGGAGGGTTTCCTCTCCTTCCTGACTGCACGCAGGCCTGGGAACCACCCGAACCAGACAGGTAGCTTTTTCTCTGTGGAAGCCAGAGCTGTTCAGAAGGGTGTGAGCAGCCCAGCTGGAGGAGGCCCAGGCCAGGGATCAGCCAGATCTCACTGGCTTGCTGTGCAGCCTTGGAGAGACTTCCCACCCTGTCCGTACCTAAGGTTTCATGACCAAAACCGTTTCTGGTGAGAGGGTGATCAGTACCGGGCAAGGGAAAATGGTGGAATGAAGTTAGGAGAGGGGTTGGTCCTTCATCCTCCACCTCATCCTCAGGGTCCATCTCCATCCTCTGAGGGACAAGACTCAGGGGAAAACCCAGAGATCTCCCTAGCCCAGGCCAGGGCCCACCAATCCTGACCGATTCTGGGGAACTCTGGGAAGGATGAGGTGGGGGTGGGAGGAGGAGCCAAGCCCACGAAATGATAGGGTCTACTTGGGGGGAGGGAGGATTTCAGTCCGGGGCTGGGGGGCTGTGGGGCAGGGGTTGGCTGGAGAACAGCTCTGAGCAGTGGGGGGGAGCCTAGGGGCAGGGTCCCCGTAAAGGTGACAGAGTACGCTGCTTAGTCCAGAGTGTAAGCTTCCCTTTGGGCAAATTGTTCTTTTTTAAATACAGGATTCCAAAAAGCAGCTGGAGAAGGCGTGGAAGGACTACGAAGCCAGAGTGTAAGTAGCCGTGGCCCGGTGGTTTGTCCAGGAGGGAGGCATTCGTGCAGGAGACGGACACGGAGGCTATCCTAAGTGCCGCTGGGACGTCTCACGCTCACTCGCGCATTCCTTTCCATGGGAGCCCCAGGTACAGCACACATGCAAGTGAGCTGCAAGGTGTGGGGTGATTCCACCATTCTTACCAAGCCCGCCTCCGGGAAGGGCCCAAGGGTGCTGGTGGCAGCTGTCAAATACCTTTAGAGCCTCACCCCCAGCCAGTCAGGTAGGAAGAGGGTCCCCTCTCCACCTGGGGCTGCTGAGAAAAGTAGCCAAACTGTGTGCGGGGCCCAGGGTTACCTAGGCTGTTCCACGTACAGGTCTGTTTCCGGTCATAAAATAGGGCTAGTGATACTATGCAGGGTCACTGTGGAGATAAAATAAGCACAGCCCATATAACATACTCAGCGCTTTAGATCTCTCTGAGCTGGAACTGGGCCCAAATAACACATGATGGGCCGGAGAGGCAGAAGCCCAGACGCATGCCCCTAGCATTTCCTCCAACCAGGTTGTGATCTTGACTGAGTCATTTCCCTTCTCTGGGACTCAACTTTATCATTGGCAAGATGGTCCTTGGTGTGACTTCTTATGAAAAACATGGTGTGACTGCTGTCGTCAGTTGGTGGAATCCAGGCAGGGCAGGAAAGATGGAAGCCATTTGAACACAACGTTGGTTCCCAGAGCTGCCCCTGAGACACTAGAGCTGGGTTCAGATCCTGGCTCCACACTACATAGCTGTGTGGCTTGAATTAGTGATGACTTATTTCAGCCCATAACTTCCTCAGTTTATAGACGGGAAAAGGGCTTAGACTAGTACCCACCATGTGTTCTGTGTGCTAAGTCTCTTGTACACAGTATCTTATTTGGGTATAGATAAGGATGCCTGTTTTGCAGATGAGGAAACTGAGGCTCAGAGAATGGAAGTAATGCAGTCAGTAAACAGCAGAGCCAATACTCATCCCACTCTGTTGTTCCTGCCCAGGGGTACAGTCCCCTTGGGAGCAGAACTGTTAAGCAAGATGTCTCCTTTACATGAGATTCATGGTTCCATGCGCCTAGCCTGAGAGATGGAAATACTCTCCTGGCTGGCAGTGGGTGGCCTGAGGGGCATTAGATTTCCAGGAGCCATTTACACACCGATCCACCCATCCCTACAGAGGGAGAACAGCCAACCCTTGCGGTCTGTCACGGAAAGGGCCAGGGTACTATTCACTACAAGGATGGAAAACATCTCCTTACTCCACCTAAAAAGAAAAGAACAGCCAGGTGTGATGATTCATGCCTTTAATCCCAGTACTTGGGAGGCTGCGGCCGGAGAATTACTTTGAATATGAGGCTAAACTGGGCTACCTAGTGAGTTTAAGGCCAGCCTGAACTAGATAGTAAGATCCTGTCTCAAAAAAAAGAGAGAGAAAGAAAAAGGAACAATGCCGGGTATAGTGGCATAGGTCTATAACCCCAGCTACTCCAGGGGCTGAGGTAGGAGGATTACAAGTTTGAGCCCAGCCTTGGCAATTCTGTTAGAACCTGTCTCCAAAAAAACAATGTTTTTTTTTAAAAAAAGGGGGTGAGGGGCTGGGCATGGTGGTGCACACCTGTAATCCCAGCACTCAGGAGGCTGAGGCAGGATTGCTGTGAGTTCGAGGCCAGCCTGAGCTATAAAATGAGTTGAAGCCATCCTGCACTGCATAGCAAAACCCTGTTTCAAACAGACAGAAGGAGAGGAATGTTGGGGGGGGGTATAACTCAGTGGGTTCAATGGGGGGCTGATACATGAGTGAATGGGAGAGAAAGGACAATGCCAGAGTGATGTCACATACTTGTAATCCCACCTACTCAGGAGACTCAGCCAGGAAGATCCAAGTCTGAGGCCAGCCTGGGCAATTTAGCAAGACCCTGTCTCAAAATAAAATAAGGGCCAGGGATGTAGCTCAGTACCTAGGCCCTGGGTTCAATCCCAGTGTGAAAAAAAAAAAGGTTTGCTTTTTGCGGTGCTAGGGCTGGTGATGCTAGGTGAATGTGCTACCCCTGGCTTTACCCCTGGCTATACCCCCAGCGTAGAACAAAGGCTTAAGTGGGAAACTCTGCAGGCGCAGAAGAGTGAAAGCACTTCATAGTCCTCTAACCTACACAATCCTAATCCCTTGCAGCTAGTCAGAATTAGTCACCCAAGTCCACCTGGCCCCACCTGAGGTGGTCATGTCCTACCCTCAAACCCTTTCCACTGTGTTTGAGCTGAAGACTAGAGAGCTTCCCATGGTCAGAACCTGGCCGGGAGGGGTCCGGTCCCTCTTGGCCCCAGCCAGCACCCCTCCCTTGCCCCGTCCCTCGCTGCATGGTTCCTAGTCCCTCCCGCCCTGGGTTGACACAGGCCTCGTCTTCCTGCCCAGCTGTGGCCTCCTCCAAACTCACTCTTTAGGCTTCACCAACCTGCACAGCTATCGCCTCCCAGATGAGATTACTCTCCCGTCACTCTCTCTCGTGACTTAATTCGTATCTTCCTCCCCCATCACTCACTGGATTCCCTGGGTTGCCGCATCCTCCAACGGCTGGCAGGGAGAAGGGGCTTGTGTATTGCGTGGTCCCCACACTGTGCATCCTTAACCAAGAGGAGGGCGGGAGGGTGGTGGGCAGGAGAAGGGCTGGGGAGAGCTTCCCCGACCTCTTTTCCCTTGCCGCCCAGGGCCAGGCTGGAGAAGGAGCGGGAACGGGCCAGGGTGACAGGAGGGCTCCCTGGGGAGGTGGCCCAGGATACACAGCGAGAGCGTCGCATCTTCCAGCTGCACATGTGTGAGGTAAGGGTGTCCTGTGTGAGGATGGGGGCTGGGTGTGCCTTGTTGTCACCGTTTCATGAGTCCCCAGGGGCCCAGTCACGGGCTCAGCTCAGGTCCTGGCCATGTGGCCTGTGAGACATCACCAAGGATCAGTTACAGCCAAGAAAATTAGCCTGAGGTGTGGACCACAGCCTGGTCCCCAGAATCTGGCTTCAATTCTCATCACACATCTTGCCCCGCCCTCCTATAGTACCTGCTGAAGGCTGGGGAGAGTCAGATGAAGCAAGGTCCCGACTTCCTTCAGAGCCTCATCAAGTTCTTCCACGCCCAGCACAAGTATGTATCTCCTTGTCCCACTCTGAGCCTTTACAGTGGTAGAACAAGGCACCTCTCCAGGGGCTGGCAGAGCCACAACACTTTCACAGTTCCTCTCTATCAAGTGCCCATTTGTCAGACACTAATGACTTTACACACATGATTTTCCTCAGTTCCCTAATTCCCTGTGGTAGGTAACAGTATCACCTCCATTTTACAGATGAGAAAACTGAGGCCCATTTACCAAGCTAGCAAGAGGGATATGAACCCAAACACTCTTGCCTTTAGATGCCCATCAGAGCACATGCCCCTGGGTGCCCTGTGGTCCTCAGAGCACCTTCCCCTACAGTTGTGGCTTCATCTTCATTTTCATCTCTCTCTGGGTCCTCCTTTGGCCTGTGTTCCCTCTTAGCTTTTTCCAAGATGGCTGGAAGGCAGCTCAGAGCCTATCTCCCTTCATCGAGAAGCTGGCAGCCTCAGTACATGCAGTAAGTCAGGCCTCGGCCTTGGGTGTGTGGTCAGGCTGCTGACCTTCAGGAAAATCTGTGGGTGTGGGTGAGTCCTGCTGGCCATGGAGTCAGGCACTGGCCTGGCATGTCTGCTGGCTGGCTGGCTACAGGGTCCTGTCCTCTGTCCATAGCTGCGTCAAGCCCAGGAGGAGGAGCTACAGAAGCTGACCCAGCTCCGGGACTCCCTTCGAGGGTCACTGCAGCTTGAAAGCAGAGAAGTGAGGCCTGAATCTTCCCAGGAGGATACCCCACCCCAGGACACCATGGAGAAGGGAGACAGGGAGGACCCCAGCGTGGGGCACTCCCTCCCAGTCTGAGGCCTCCTTTGCATGTGTAGGGGCAGGAGCACCTGAGGCGGAAGAACTCTGGGGGTGGATACAGCATCCACCAGCACCAAGGCAACAAGCAGTTTGGGACAGAGAAGGTGGGATTTTTGTACAAGAAAAGTGATGGGTGAGTAACTTTGAGAACTTAGTGAACTTGCCCAGAAGGACCGTTTTTTATCATTTGTGTAGACCCTGAAGGTTCCAGACCCTTCCACTCTGGCAATGCAAAATCATCTGAGGACACCTGGCCATGTGCACTTCTGCTAACCGTTACTAGTTGTTCTTCAAGAAGAGCAGCAGCTAAGAGTTACTGAGCATTACTACTCCTACACCCTTATCAGCCATGTATACCGAATATGCCTTGAAAAAGGCTGTTAGTTCTTCATTGCTGTGATCAAACACCTGTGAAAAACAACTTAAAGGAAGAAAGATTTATCATGGTTCAGGGTTTCGCAGGGTTCAGTCCAGAGTCTCCTGGCTCTGTGCCTGTGAACCTGAGGTAAGACAGAAAGTCACAGAGAAGTGCAGAGTGGAGCAAAGCTGCTCACCTCAGGGAAGCTAGGAAGGGAAAAGGTATAGGGGTCAGGGACCAGATACAGTCCCCAAGGCCACACCCCATGACCCGCTCCCTTCAACTAGGTCCCACTTCCTGTGTTTCCATTATCTCCCAGTATGATATCAGATTATATCAGTGGATTCATGCCCTGATCTGATGAAGTCAGAGAGCCTTTGTGCTCCATTCCCAACCCTAAAGCCCCACCTCTGTGCACATGAGACTTCTGGTGCCTGTTTTAGATCTAATCTGTAACAGGCCCTGATGGGATATGTTTATGTTTCTACTTACAGATCAGTTTTTTTAGACAGAATAACTTTGAAGAGGAGAAGGATGAATGTTTAACTCTTTAGTTTATTTATTTTTTGTAATCCTGGAGATTAAACCCAAGGCCTTCACATTGAGCTATATCACCAAACTAGGTTTATTTATTTATTTAAATTTTTGAGATAGGGTATCACTAAGTCCCTAAATTGTCCGAGTGGGGCTCAAACTTTGAATCCTCCTGTCTCAGCGTTCCAGGGTGCTAGGATTACAGGTGTGCACTACCGAACCCAGCTGAATATTTAACTCTTATGAGAGAAGTGTTCAGCAGCATTGGATCATGGATTTGCTTTTTTATTTGGGGGGGGTCTTGGTATTTACTTTGTTTCGTTTAACTGTAATTTATCTGTTGTGGTCGAGAGCCTGTAACTCCTCTCAGTCTGGGATCTCCCTAACATTCCAAGCCAAGTCTCCTCCATCAGGGTAGAAGCTCTCAGGGGCACAAAATTACATCATCCCCTTTGGAATAAGGACTCCCAGAGAGTGGGGCTGTGTTTTCATCACACTGGGAATTTCCTGAGGGAAGGAGCAGACGGTGAGGGGGTTCAGACACTGGGGAGGGAAGAGGTGTGGCTGGAGGTCACAGAGGTGGGGCCAGGACTCTGTTCTCTATGGGGGTGTTGGGGATGAGCCCTAGGTCACCGTCTTTCTATCCCTCCGGGCCTTAGGATTCGAAGAGTCTGGCAGAAGAGGAAGTGTGGGGTCAAGTACGGCTGCCTGACCATCTCACACAGCACGGTAAGGCCTCTCCTGTTGTGCTGAGCTGACAGATGTCAAGCCCTCCCTCCAAGACTGGCCCACAAACTTGGATCCAGGCACTGGAGACCCTTTGTGGGAGGAAGGGTGGGATCCAGAGCCCCCAGCCCTTGAGGTGCTGGGAGAGATCAATATAAACTGGAACAGGATTATTATGCCCATTGAACATATTGGGAGATGGAGCCCTGGAGTGTTCAGGAGGCCCAAAGGTAACATGTACACCCCTCACTCCAAATTCCCCCAGATAAACCGGCCCCCAGTGAAGCTGACCCTGCTCACCTGCCAAGTGAGGCCAAACCCTGAGGAGAAGAAGTGCTTTGACCTCGTGACCCGTGAGTGGTTCCTGCCCAGCCCCCACGGCTGCCCAGGGCTTCTCTAAGAGCATTGTCCACCCCGCAGAACGTACAGTTAGGGGTCTGTTTCCAGTTCCAGCCGGTATCAAATAGCGACAGCTGTAGGCTGGGACTCTGCTGGGCCCGGACACCTGTAAAGGCCTCACCTTCCCTCACAGTGAACATTAAACTGCACCCACTTTGCACACTGTTACGATTATGTAAAGTACATTTCAGTGGCTTTGGTAATCTGGCTTTTAAGGTATCATTCCTTTAAATTTTTCACTTCTTATCACCTGGAGCCTTTGGTGACAGGCTTTCCGTGGGGTAGGTGCAGCTGACAAAGGCCTAGATCTCACCTTCAGGGGGAGCACCTAAGGCGAGGTGTGACCAGGTCTGTAGAGTGGGGTGTCCAGAAGAGAGGTACAGAGCCCCATGGAAGGCCCGCCCCACTGTGGGGAGTCAGGAAGGGCTGCTTGGAGAAGTTCAGCTTTGAAGGACCCCGACAATGTAGAGATGGGGGGCAGTCCCGGAGACAGCTTAGCTCGATGAAAGGCACGGAAGCCTGCGAGTGTGTCCTGCCAGTTCGGCCAGAGGAAGAGCGGGAGGTGAGGCCTCTTGAAGCCCTGGTCCTTATTCCCTGGCAGTAGAGAGCCTGACAGCAGATTCAGAGGATGCCCTGCCCGGGTGGAGTCCTGGACTTCCGTGGCCTGAACCCCTCTTCTCTCCGGCAGACAACAGGACCTACCACTTCCAGGCGGAGGACGAGCACGAGTGTGACGCGTGAGTGCCCCGAGGCGCCGGTGGGCAAGGCCAGGAGCCTGTCGCAGGGCCCAGCCGTGCCCACTGCCCGCTCCGTCTGCGCAGGTGGGTATCGGTCCTGCAGAACAGCAAGGACGAAGCCTTGAGCAGCGCTTTCCTCGGTGAGCCTGGTGGCGGCCCCGGATCCGCGGCAGGCTCCGGACTGGATGGGGAGCCCCAGGACCTCACGAAGCTGCTCATCGCCGAGGTGAAGAGCAGGCCTGGGAATGGCCAGTGCTGCGACTGCGGGGCTGCAGGTCGGCGGTGGGACTGGCCGGCGGGAGGCGGGAGGCGGGAGGCGGGAGGGGAGGGCGCCGTGCCTGCGCGCTCCAGCTGTGCTCCTCGCAGACCCCACCTGGCTCAGCACCAACCTGGGCGTGCTCACCTGCATCCAGTGCTCGGGAGTCCACCGCGAGCTGGGCGTGCGCTTCTCGCGCATGCAGTCCCTCACCTTGGACCTGCTGGGCCCCTCGGAGTTGTTGGTGAGGGCGGCCGGGGGGCGGGACCAGAGGCAGGGCTAGGGGCGGGGCTTGGTCGGGGGCGGGGCTTGGGCTCGGGCTCCTCGGAGGCTCGTAGGGTTGGGGGTGGGGCCAGGCCCAGGTGGGCTGGATCAGAAGGAGGGGAAGGGGGTGGCCTGAGGCGGGGCCTGGATGGGGAGGGCCACCGAGGGAAGCGGGAAGTGAGCGCGGGAGACTCAGCTTTCTCTTGAGCATGGTTCTGATCACCTGGTTTTATCCACACGCACACTCTGATGACTCCAGCTGGCCTTGAACATCGGAAACACCCGCTTCAATGAGGTCATGGAGGCCCAGCTGCCCTCTCACGGTGGCACTAAGCCCTCCGCGGAGAGTGACATGTACGGAGATGCGGGGTTGGAGGGATGCTGGCTGAGGGATGCTGCCTTCCCCGCTCCCGGGGCCTTAGAGGGGTCCAGGATCAGAAGCTTGGGGAGAGGGGAGCCTCAGATTTGGAAGTCTCCAAGACACGATTCTGAGGAACGGGACACTGTGTCCTTCGTGGGATGGTGCCAGGGTCGGCTGGCTGGAAACGGCCCTCGCGGAGAACTGTGCTTGTCTTGGTAGGAGCACCCGCAGGGACTACATTGTGGCCAAGTATGTGGAGCACAGGTTTGCCCGCCGGTCTGCGTGTGAACCCCAGAAACTCCGGGCAGCCATTTACAACAGGGACCTCCTGTCAGTCCTGGAGGCCTTTGCCAGTGGGCAGGACTTTGGACAGCCACTGCCAGGGCCTGATGGGCAGGTGAGAACCCCTGCCGAGGACCACTTGTAACCCACCTGCACACACATACGCCCCAGGGCCAGCGCTTACTGCCCTGGACCCCGTCTCTGCCATCTGCTCGTATCTCACCCACAGAGGGGAAAATGGGAAAAAGCACAACTTCAGTCAAGCAGACCTGAGCCAGAATCCTGATTATGTCTTTTTTCCAGCTGTACAATCCAGGGCAGTTTGCTTATCTGAAACTCATTTCCTCATCTGTAAAATGGGTAAATAATAGCTCCCACAGGGTTGACTAGCTTGTAAGTAGATGAGGGCAGGTCAGATTAGAGCAGGAAGGCTGTTCCAGGAATGAACACCCTGCGAACAAAGAGAAAAAGTACCAGACACACTGGAAGGATTAAATCAGGAGTTGCTGATTGGACATAAAAAATGGGATGTCAGGGCTGGGGGTGTGTCTGAGTGGTGTGGGGTGCGCTTAGCGTGCACAAGGCCCTGTGTTCAACCCCCAGCATCCCCCCAAAAAACTGAATATCTTTGAGCTGTCTGTCTGACACCTTGTTGGGCCGCCCAGAGACAATGAGGGGACAGCACTTAGGTGCGGTCTGAATGACAGGGAACAACTCTGTGATTGACAGCAGAAAGCATGAGGCTGTGGGAACCGGCAGGGGAATTAGATACAGAGATGCGGCCCGGGGCTGGGGATATAGCTCAGTGGCATGAGCACCTGCCTGGCAAGTGCAAGGTTGTGAGTTCAACCCCCGGTACCGGGAAAAAAAAAAAAAAAAAAGCACATGAGATTCGGGCGCAGGCCAGAATGAGGTTTGGAGGCACCATTCGTGGGGGGGCGGAGGAGGAAGGACCGTGGCCTGAACCAGTGAGGGAATGATTGATCCTTCCGCCTCCCCCAGATGGGAGGCTGTGCCCCTTCAGTGTCGTCTCTCTGGGGTTCTGCAGCTTCTTATCTGGAAGCGGCAGGGCGGTAGGAGTTTGAGAGGGCAGCATCGGGTGGGGGCAGGTGAGCAGGGGAAACTCAGGTGTGGACATGTATCCAGGCCCCTGGAGAGCTGGCCCTGCACTTGGCCGTCAGAGTTGCCAATCAGGCGTCCCTGCCCCTGGTAGACTTCATCATCCAGAATGGGTAAGAACCTGCGTGCCACCTGCCCTCCTCCTCACACTGTCCCTCCTTTTTCCCCCTCTCTGCCTCTCCCCCTGGTTTTGACCTCTTCACCTGCCCGCCTTCCATGCTCCCTCCCCCAGGGGCCACCTGGACGACAAGGCTGCGAATGGAAACACCGCCCTGCACTATGCCGCACTCCATGGCCAGCCTGACTGCCTCAAGTTGCTGCTGAAAGGGAGAGCGTCAGTGGGCACAGGTGCAGCTGAGTGCCCCCCATCAGATTCCATGCCCACTGCCCTTGGGTGGGGCTGCCTGCCTGCTTCCTGGAGGAAGGGCACTGATGACAAGCCCCACTTTGCAGACAGATGGGCTTACTTGTGACTGCCTTTGTATCCTTAGGGGTCTGTCATTCATCTCTAGAACCTCAACTTTCTCATCTGTAAAATGGGAGTGATACCATGGGCCTACTTGGCCTGCTAAAAGGATTAAATAAAATAATACTTCTGATAGTACCTAGCAAAATAAACACTAGCAAATTTGCATAATACTGATTACAGTAGCTGCTGTTTACTGTTTTAACATATGCCTGCTAATGTGCCAAGTGATTTATACATATTAATTCTCACAAGAACCTGGTCAGATGGTTTCAAATACAGTGGTACCTCAGTTCATGAACTTAATTCTTGCCACGATTCTGGTGTCAAACTGAATTAGACGAGAACTGAATCAAATTCAGTGGTTAGGTACAATGCTGACCGTATAGGGAAATTTGATTTGGTTCTTGTCCAATTCAGCTTGTGATCAGAATGGTGGAAAGAATTAAGGACATGAACTGAGGTACCACTGTGTTGTTAATTTTATGGATGAGACAGTTAAGGCCCGGCAAGGTTCAATAACTTACTCAAGGTTACGTAGCCAGGAAATGGCAGAGCCAGGATTGACACCTAGACATTCTGATTCCAGAAGCCCACCTTAATCTCTAAGCTGTTACGTTTCTTCCACCGTGACTATGACCCCTGGCTTTGCTCCCCCCCAGTGAACGAGGCAGGAGAGACGGCTCTGGACATAGTTAGGAAAAAGCAGCACAAGGAGTGTGAAGAGCTGGTGAGTCTGAGGGAAGAGGCTGCCCTCTGACCCCTCCTCTCCCTGCTGGGCCCTGACCTCTGACCTGGAAAGTCTGTTTCTGGCAGCTGGAGCAGGCGCAGGCGGGGACCCTTACCTTCCCGCTGCACTTGGACTACTCCTGGGGCATCTCCATGGAGCCTGGCTCTGACAGCGAGGATGACGAGGAGGAGAAGGTGGGGACCAGCCTCTGCCCCAGCCCCTGCCCCTCAGGCCTAAGATGGCAGAAGGAAAGCCACACTGGGCCTGGTGTCGGGCAGGGCAGGCTGAGCTGGGGAAACCAGGCTGTCCTTGCCCCACAGCACTGCCCTCCGAGGCCCCCAGCCCAAGCCCGCTGGGCCAGTGGGAGGCTGGACATCAGCAACAAGACCTATGAGACCATCGGCAGCCTGGGACCAGCTACCCTGCAGAGCCAGAGTGAGGACTGCCCCCCGCCCTTGCCAGTCAAAGCCTCTTCTCGGACCATGGTCCACGGGCGTACGGCCCATGCCAGTGGAGGTAGAGTTGGCTGCCCAGAAAAATGCCTACCATTTTTGAGGGCCTACTCTGCGCTGGGGCACTGAACCAACAGTGCATATGAGCTGGTCCACCCTGTCCTCACAGTCACTGGCCGGTGGGGCCTTCCATCCTTCCCTTAAGGGTAAAAGAACAGATTTTAAGTAAGCAACATACTCAAGGTCCCATAGCCTCTAATGTGGAATTCAAACCCAGGTCTCTTAATCCAGATGACCCAGCTCTTATTCCACATTCCTCCTCATTTTGCTTAAATAAACAGACAAGAGTTTATGGAAAACCGTATGTGGGGGTGCACGCCTGTAATCCCAGCGCTCAGGAGGCTGGGGCAGGAGGACTACCATGAATTTGAGGCCAGCCTGGTCTACATACAAAACCAGCCTGAAGTACATAGTGAGACCTTATCTCAAAATACCCGCCCACCAAAACAAAGTTATGGAGCATCCACTGTGTCCGAAGTCCTTTGGGGGCTACCCAGACTCTCGATCTAGTGAGGAGATAAAAACTGGAATGTGCAGCTCAGTGGTAGCGCGCACTTGTCTAGCATGTGCGGCGGCCCTGGGTTTGAGCCCCAGTATTGAAAAAAAAAGTCCTGGAATGCAGTTGATTGTAGTGTAAGGCTCAGCGCCATAGAGCACATTAATCCCCAAAGGACAGGGATTTGACTGTTGACAGCTGTTTCTCCAGTACCTTGCGCTGGGCCTGGCTGGCTGTGCTCAGGAACTACTTGCGGCGCGGGTAGAGCAGGCTTGTTCTGGGGGGCCGGGAGGGAGCAGGTCCTGTTGGGGTTCGGATGGATTAGAAGGGCTTGGGGGAGGGGGTGAGTAGAACCTGGGCTGGACTGAGGGGCGGGCTGGGTGCGAGAGCTGAGGTCCAGAGAGAAGCGGGGCGTCGAGCTGGCGTGAGCAGCTGATGTGAACGTACCCTGCAGTGGAAGAGGACAGCTGGAGAGGTGGAGGGGCAGGGCGGGCGGACAGAAGAAACATGATAGATCGTGGAGGCCAAAGACTGCTTTGATACAGAGCAGAGCAAATGATAAAAACAGGCTTTGTCACTTCTGCTCCCAGATCGTTCGGAAGTCTCCAGCCTGAGTTCCGAGCCCCCTGAGGCCTCTGAGGGCTTGGGCAGCCCAGCTTCCTCCTCCTCCAGCCTCACAAGCCCTGTGGAACCTGGGGGGCCCAGCCAGGCCCTTCCCACCTCTGAGGAGGGCCTCCGGGAGCCCCCCGGCACCTCCCGAGCTGGCCTAACATCTGGGACTACCCCCGTGGACGGGTACCTCCCCGTCAGGTTCAGGTGGGTGAGGGCCCAGCTGTGTGTCCTGGGCAAGTTTCCTGACCTCTCTGAGCCTCCATTTGTTTCCCTGGCTCTAATAGTAACTGCCCCAAGCACGGCCACATTCCAGCGCTGGGCCCACACTGTAGGCAGATCCTGGACCTTGGGTGGAGGGTCTTGGGCCCTTTCCCCTTCCTGCCCCAGCCTGCTCCCAGGTCTGCCCTGGGACCCTGGCTGCTGAGGTTAGAAGAGAGAAGGCTCAGCCCCACCTATGTAGCTTGTGTCCTCAACTCCAGCCCAGGATCCAGTCCTCTCCCTTCCTTGGACACCCTTTCTTTCCAGAGTTTAGGGAAGCTGGACTTGGAGCTCCCTCCAAAGCTCCCTCCAAAGCCCTCTGGGGCTGTGATGGACCCAACCTCGGGGTCCTGTGGACTCTGCCTGTCCTTCCTAAGCTCCCGGCTTGCTGTTCACATAAGCCCAATCTCCCCATTTTGAGCAGCTCTGGGCACTAAGGGGACATCGGCCTTTCCCTGCCTTCCAGCTCGGAGAGCACGCGCTCCTATCGGCGGGGAGCTCGGAGCCTGGAAGATGGTCCCTCAGCCCGACAGCCTCTGCCCAGAAGGAACACGCCGGTAGGAGCCCAGAGACTGTGGTTTGAGGGCGGGGGGCGGGGGGCGGAGTTGTCAAAGATGGGCATAGCAGGCTGGGAGACTTCTCCTCAAGAGGGGCGCACAAACATAGGGGTCCAGATGGCCACCATTTGGCCAGTCCCCATCTAGTGCCCCTCCTTTCAGCTCCAGCCTACGGCTGTGTAAAGCTGAGGCGAGCCCAGGCCTTGAGGGACAGCAGAGGTGACAGGGCCCGACCTGTGTCTGCTCCCCAGGGGAGGATGAGTAGAGCTGTGTCTGCAGGGCCAGCAGCACGGTCAGTGCAGAAGAGGCAGGAGCAGGCTCTGGTGTCCCTCACTCTGCTCTTGTCCAGGAGGCTCCTGGAATCCACAGGGACTCCCCGATCCAGGCATAGAAGGATGTAGGGACAGGGCAAGAGCTACATCCTTCACCTTGCTCCTCCCTGCCGAATCGCAGTCTCCAGCTGTTACACATGTGTGGCTGAACCTGCGGGGGCGGGGGCATGGTCAGAGGCCTCCGCTGTTTCTGGTGCCCTGGGAATTCCTCAGGGATGGCACTGATTATCTGTGCTGGGAGTGGGGGAGGACAGGGGCGGGAGCTGCCTCTCTCTGAAGAGTCATCTTCAGTCTATTAAAGTCAAGCACCGGTTACACATCTGTGTCCACCTCCTGCTTTTTGCTGTTGCCCCGAAAACCATGTATCCATCGCCAGGCATTTAGCGGATACTGCTTGTGGCATGTGTGATAGTAAGAACTCAGGCTTTAAGAGTGAAGAAACCTGGGGTACATAGCTTTGCTTCTCTGAGCTTTGCCTCTTTAAGCACCATGTGTAGAATGGGAATAACTTAAAATGCCCCATTATGGGACAGACATGAACTGAGCGGTACATAATAGGTGCTTAGAAAATGTTGGTTTCATCCTTGTTTCCCCAGATTGGCTTCACTGAAGGAGAAGGCTCAAAAACTAGTGTTCTTCCAGCAAGTTCTTTGTAACTTTTGCAAGACTTGCTCCTTGCTGACCCCTGCGTGGCCCATGCTGGACCCCAACATGCAGAGCTGGGACCTGAGCTCACAGAAGCGGGAGCTGAGGATCCATTCCCTTGGGTCTGGCTCTCTCTGTCCTTCGTGGCCTTCTTCCTGTTGTGGACCTTGCCCCTTGCCAAGGACACTGGGCCTCCACACTGAGGCTGATGGTGGCTCTTCTCCTCTATCTCACTGCTCCCGGGGCTGGGCAGCCTTGTACCTGGATCTGAGTCCTGAGCTGGCTTCAGCTACAGAACCCTCAGTCCCTCATCAGACGAGGATGGTGTCTCTCCCTTCGGTCAAGGGCTGCAGTAGGACACGCCCTCCTGCATCATTCTCTTCCAGACTGGGGACTGTCTTGGCCTCTTCTTGGTCTAGCAGTTCTTTACTGAATTCCAGCTATCTGTCTAGGCCTGCACTAGGCACCGTGGATGTCGTGTACATAAGGCAAGGGTCCTGCAGGTGTGGTCCCTTGCTGGGAAGCTGGTTTCAAGGACCGGCATAAGAACATGCAGAATCATATTCTGGAGAATAGTTCTGGGCCCAGGGGCAGGACCTACATACACAGCTGGTTCCTGTCTGACCATTAGCTGCCTGCAGCCCATTTTTGTTGCAGTTGGCCAGTGCCTATGCTGTAGTGGCTACTGAATAAACATCCTGAATGCCTGTCATTTGCAGGGCAGGGCAGCCCTCCCTGGGATCTGGACTCGGGACCCTCCCCAGTCAAGAAGTATAGTATGACTCACCCACATTTCCCTGTCTCCTTGAGGGAGCAGGAACAACAGGAATGGTCTGGGTTATGGATCCCCACTTCCGTCCTCTTTCTCTTGGTCAGTTCAGGGGCCTTCCAGATGGAGAGTGAGGGGCTACAAAAGGACAGAGGAGAGTGACAGAACAAAGACTTTAAGATTCTGCTTCCCTGGGTCAGGAATATCCCCCAGAGCTCAGCCCCGATGAGGAGGCAGGCACTCCCTCACCATCAGCAACCACTAACGCCCCTGCTCTGCAGCTACTGGGTGCTGAGCCGAGCCAGGCCAAGCAGGATGCCACAGGGCATCAGGGCCAGTACCACAGTGTGGCCAGGAGCCTGGACTGTTCATCCCAGAGCCTTACTGGTCTGCGGTGACTGGGAAACAGAATTGCCTTCTGAGCCCTCGGAATCTGGTTTCACTCATCTCAAACTTGTTATTTCACTCATCCGTAATAAAGAATTTCTGGGGGTAAATTCCATTGGCCTCATCTCTGGGGTCCGAAGAATAAGGGGGAAAGGGAAGGAATCTTGTGGCTAGGAATTCTTCCTCTAAACTTGGCAAGAGAGACAGTCGGGTGTGGAGCAGTGGTTGTGGTATAACCAGGCATAATTTTGCCCTGGGGGACACTTGGCACAACCTAAAGTAGTTCCCAGGTGGAGGATGCTACTGGCCTCTAGTGGACAAGGGCCAGGGATGCTGCTAAGCGTCCTATGCTACCCCATGTCTTAGTGGGTTTGTGTTGCTGCAACAAAGTCTCAGAGCTGGTACCTTCTAAAGTAAAGAGGTTTATTTGGCTGCTAACTCTGCTGTCTTGCCCTCCTCCAGCTGTTGGAGGGTCCAAACAGCATGGCCCTGGGCTCCTGGTCTAGCCACCCTGCATCACAGCATGACAAAGAAACAGAAAGACAGCCAGCAGGGTGCAGAAGGAGCAGGAGGGCTTGCTCTATAACAACCCATTCTTGGGTCTGGTGATACAGCTCAGCAGCACAAGTGCCTGCCTGGCAAGTGCAAGGTCCTGAGTTCGATTCCAGGTACTAAAAAAAAAAAAAGCAAAGAAACAAACCATTCTTACCAGGCCAGGTGTAGTGGCTCACGCCTGTAATCCCAGTGCTTGCGAGGCTGAGGCAGGAGAATTGTTGTGAGTCTGAGACCAGCCTAGCTACATAAGTGAGCTCAAGGCCAGCTACATAAGTGAGCTCAAGGCCAGCCTGAACTGCATAGTGAGACCCTGTCTCAAAAAGACAAAAAAAAAACCAACAAAAAAAACCCAACATTCAAACATTCTTACCAGAGCTGACCCAGTTTGGGAGACCAGTACCATCCCTTCCAAGGTGGTACCTCCTCTGCATAATTACCTTTCCCTAACCCTCCCCACCTTAAAATTTCCACCACCTCTCAACCCTGGGAGCCAAGCTTCCGGCACAGGAAGCCTTGGGGGCACATTCAAACCACAGCCACAGGTCAGCCCCGCGACAATGAATTATCTAGTCCAAACTGTGACTCCTGCTGAGGTCGAGGAGGCAAGCGCACTGGCCTAGATGCTCGGAGACCTGGTGTGTTTGGCTTGGCTATGGTCCCTGCCACAGTCCCTGTTGACTGCCCCGAGATAAGGACTTGATTGAGGGCAAGTAGTTTATTTGTGGGAGGATCCCAGGAAGTACGGTGAGGGGGTACGGAAGTGAAGCCGAAGGTAAAAGCAATAAAGGGTGTGTTCATGTGGGGTGACCCCTGCGGGCAACAGGGGCTTGAGCTTGTTGGGCACCTTATTCTCCATATTGTCCCACCAAGATGGAAGAAGTGGGGCGCTTACCCCCAACTCCGATCTCTTGTTGATTAGCCCTTTCTGGGCATTAATTTCTGGCCTGTTCTCGAGCTTGTAAAGAGCTGTGGGCAACTGTCAGAGGTGTGTCCAGGAATTGCTTGCAGGTGACATTTGAGGTGGGCAAGCAGTTGGAGGGAAAGGTACCACCGTGGCATCACAAAAGTCCAGAGGGGACTGAGGGGATCACGCCCCTGAGGGGATCACGCCCTCTTTGGTCTCCAGTCTTCCCATCTATAGGATGAAAAGGTAAGACCTGATTTTTTTTTTTTTTTTTTTTTTTTTTTTGGTCCTTCTAGCTCCAGTGATGTAGGAGTCCACTGCTTTGATGTCCAGAGTGTGGACGGATGGGTGGAAGACTGCATGCTAAGCAAGTGCCCTACCACTGAGTCAGTGTTTTGTTCCTCTCTAGGTACCCAGGGCTAGAACTTCTGGCGCACAGTAGGTGCTCAGTAAATGTATGTCAAATGAATGAAAGCTTCTTCCTCTCCTACAAACCTTTCCTCCTTTTCTTAACTGCTTTGCACATAGGCCCAATAAATGTGCTTTCTTCAGAGGGGATCATCCCCAACTGCGCAGGCTATGCCCCCCACCTGGAATTCAACGCTGTCCCTGATATTTAAGATTTCCTTTGCCCAGTTTGTTGGGACTAGGTGTGTCCTGATCACGTGTTTGTTGAATGAATGAAATGAATGTCCTACCTTGACTCCAGTCACACAAGCAACAGTTGAAAACCAGACTGTCCCTGTGCCCCAGAGTGGGATAGGGTTCTCTGAGAGAGGAGTTTTAAGCAGGCACTCCACACCACAGCCCCGCAGCCTGCACACTCTGCGGGCCACTTGTCCTGCCTCCCCTCAAGGACCCTTCCCAAGAAGGTCGCCCATTAAACTCACTTGTTAAGGAAGGGAGCCAGGGATGCAGGGGCACTGGGAAGGCCCTTCCACAAGAAGGCAGGACTGTGTCAGCTGGAAAGACGGGCACAGTTTTTTCCCCTCACTCCCACCCAAAATTACCTTTCCAAGCCCAAACCTACTGACCGGCACCAGCCTGACCCTAAGGTACCTATGCACACCTCATAAGTATTTCTCACCTAAGTGCCCTTAAGAATCCAAGCCCTTCACCACTCAGAGGTATAGCCCTGGGGCCAGTGGCACCCCGCAGTTAGAAATTGGCAGCCTCACTGTAACAAGTATACAGACCCGAACAGCTGCTTGCATGCGCATGCCCAGGCCGCAGGCAGAAAGGAGTGAGCCTAACTTAGCGCAGAGCGGGACGCAGTGATTAGCGCCAAGCATGGTTCCAGCGCACCAAGTTGTCTCCGCTTGGGCACAGGCACGCAGCGGGGCCTTCCCACTCCAAGCCGCAGCACTGGAGCCCAGAACTCCTCCGTCGCCCTGTGGGCCACGGCTGTCACCTGTGGCTAGGGACAAGGGCCTCTCGCTCGCCTGACAGCCCTTCTCGTCAAATCTCCCTCCGGCTCCGGACTCCCCTGGGACGGTGGAAGGGAAGGGCCCCGTCCCTCTCCACAGAGGCCTGACAGGCGGCCGGGGCGGGCAATCTTTGCCTGGCGGAGTCCTTGAAGTCTATATTTAGCGCTCGCCACCCCTCCCAGCCCCGAGGTTGAGAGGCCGCCAAGGGGGAGGGGAGAGCCCCGCCCCCGCCCCCGCCGTGTGTGTGTGTGTGTGTGTGTGTGTGTGTGTGTGTGTGTGTGTGTGTGTGTGTGTGTGTGTGTGTGTGTGTTTGAGCACGCGCGCGCGGTGTGTGTGGGGCTCCGGCGGTTGCGCGCCCTTCACCTTGCTGCACAGAAGCCCGGCTGCTGCCCTGAGCCCCTAGCCCAGCCGGGCGTCGGGCGTCGGGCGTTGCGGGCCAGCATGGGCCAGGAAGAGGCGCTGCTGAGGATCGCCCGAAAGCTGGAGAAGATGGTGGCCAGGAAGAACACGGTGAGGCTGCGAAGTTTGGACCAAGGCCCACGCCCCCGGGAGGCACCGCGCGGACGAGTTGGGGCGCCCTGGGGCACGTGCGGGGCTCAGGGTAGGGACACTTGCCGGGCACCTGGTGGCGGGGGAAGACCCTTGCCGGGCACCTGGGGTGAACGTGCACACCCCGGGGACCCTGCACTTCCCTCTGTACGGGTAGCGTTCAACCCTGCGCCGCCTGTGCGGGGCCTTGGAAAAGCGGTCGGAGAGACTTGAATCTGGTACAGGACTTTCGGAGTTCCCGGACTCACTGCGTGTGCAAAGCCCGGGAACGACCGGGGGCTGGAGGGGCAAATCCTGGGTGTTCCAAGAAAGAGCAGGAAAGCGCGTGAGAAAGGGTGCAGGGCTGCACTTCTCCCGCGCCGGAGTGGCTCTGCCGGAGAGAAGCAAACGCGGCGGATCCCGCGGCTCCATAGCCTGCGTGCCAGGCGCAGTTCTGTTTGCAACTTTGTTTCTTGGCTGCGGAGTGGGGCTGGGGCGAGCGAGGCCGAACAGGTGCGAGCTGGCGAGGGATGAGGTCCGCGGGAGGCCTGGGCCCGGGGACTGGGGGAGGTGCGCCGCGCGGACAGCCGGGGAGATGCGCGCGCTCTGCTCTACCCGAGGGTCCCCAGGCCGCAGTCCCTGCAGGCAGCGTTCAGCGCAGGCCCGAGGAGAGTTAATGTTTGATCCTCCCCTTCCTTGATCTTTGCCTCAGGCTACGGGCTTTGGGTCCTGGGGTCCCGCAAACTTGGCCAGGGTCTCCAAGCCTGTAGTCTCATGCTGGGTTGGAGAAGAGATGGGAGAGGGCTCCGCTGAACATGCCTTTCACCTTGACCTGCCCGGGATCCTCTTCTGTCCACTGTCCATAGCCGTGTGCTGCAGCAGGATTTGCATTTCCAGTATGTCAGGCTTGTGCCTAGATGTCCCCCCAAAGCCTCATTCGGTCATAGGTGGGGCTTCCTCAGAGGTGGCTGAATCTACAATGCATGAGGGTGGGTTTAAGGGTGGGTGATTATGAAATCACTTCACTGTTTGGCTTGGCACCTAATCCGGCTAGCCTGGATATGATATCAGGGACAGAAAGAGCCCTGTCCTATCCCGTGCTTGCTTTGCTACCTTCTGCCAGCCATGAACTGTTTCTCCTTTGCAATGTCTGTCCGCCATGCCGCCCTGCCTTGGAGACAGCTGACTGTGGACAGAAACCTCTGCAAACTGTGAGACAAATAAACCTCCCCTCCCTTAACTTTGGGTGTCAGGTATTTTGTCTCAGCAAAGAGAAAAGTTAACTAAGACACAGTACATTCGATGATCTTAGGAGCTTGGGAAAGGAAGGCTCTAGAGCTGACAAGAATGACAACGGCCCGAGGAAGGAGTCAATGGAAACATGGTGTGCCGGGAGCTTTAGAGTAGACACTGGGCAGCAATGAGACGCGTTCCTACAATGGCCGGAGCCTCATTTTCTCCACTACTGAGAAGATGGGGGGGTGCTCTGCAGGCAGCCAGGAGATGAGGTAGGATTTAGCAGGACTTCCAAGGGCTCGACGGGTACCTGGTAAGAGCCAGTGGGTGAGACCTGGCTCGGCACAGGCAGGTGAAATGCGGAAAGGCATGGCACCCACCTGCGGAGTGCGAGGAGCTTCTCCCCTGACACTCTCAGACCCTACCCCTTCCCATGCCCGGGTTCCAGGCTGATTCGGAATCCTTAATCCGAACCTCAAGCCATGGGGAGCACTTTCCCACCAGTGTCCTGGGCAGACTTCCAGTGCAGGGAGACAGGTTATCTCAGCCCAGTGCCTTGCCGACTCGCCACTCCACGGCGGGGGCCCTAGATGGGGTGAGGAACACTCAGGAGACCTGGGGAGAGGCTGTGGATTGGGGTGGAGCTCCAGCAGGGGAGAAAAGGAGCTTCCGGAGCCTCCTCCTCCTCGCTCCTTTTGCAGCCTTAGCCAAGCCACTCTGCTTCCTTCTTTGGGCGTCTGTTTTGTCTTCTGTGAAATGGGAAGGGAAAACAGTACCCGCTGTTGATGGGTTCCCGTGGAAGGGCCCGGAGCTGTCTCCAGGAAAAGCTTCAAGGCTGCACGCAGGGCAATCTGCAGCCACGTCTGCGCCTGGACTGTTGGCAGCATCTGGGTGGGCACAGAGCTCCTGGCATCTGGACAAGGAAGGTGGGGCTGCCGTGGAGTGAAAGCAGGCCTGCCTAGTGTGGATCCGCGAAAGACACACTTCCTGTCATGAGACAGCTCCTCCACGTTGCAGCTCAGGGCTGGCTCTTCTGCCAGTACCGACATCCCAGCGACTTAGGGCTTTGTCAGATGCTGTGAGCACCACCTGAAGCAGCTTCCAACAGACAACCAGGCACCAGCAGTCACAGCCACACACACACACGTGGTGACACCGATAGACATGGCCATACACGTACAGCCACATACCATAGCTAAACAAGCAACAAGGAGCCTAACTACGTGTGAGACACAGCTGCATAGGCTGGCATGACAGACATGACCCATGTGACATGCACTGACCATTGTAGGTGCAGAAAGATACCCAAAGGCAACCACACATGTGTACACACAGCACAGCCACACCCACACGCAGACACGCAAAGCTACAGCCTTAGCAAACAGCCGCATTTACCCACCCAGACGTAATTCTGGCAACATCCCATGGGGACAAATAGACACAGTAGGGCCTTGGGCTGCAGACCCACCGCTCCGCACCTGGTCCAGAGTTACTGCTGGCCGCACACCCACAGAGACACACCCAGTGACATTTGCACACGGCTTTCTGCACCCAGCCACAGCCCCGGCTCATGGCTGTTTCCCCAGTCGGACCCTGCTATGCAGAGATATGCACTCGTTAGTGAGCTGGAAATAGCTTAACAGGGTTGAATTTTGAGGAATTTTGCAAGCCACTTGTGAAACACAGCCATCACAAAAAATTAAATTACTGCTAATTACATGGAAAAACAAAAGTAATGACTATTCCAGAATCATCACCTCCTAATTATTTTACTGCATTTTACTACCAGCTATGGTCTAGAGATGATTTACTTCTGGTAAATCTAGGGGTGGAAGTTCCATATGATGATATGGTACTGCCCATCTCTTCCCAGTACCTCCTTCAGCTCAGTGACAACATGTTGCTAACTTAAAATTGGCCATGGGAAGAGCATTAACATCACAGACACTGGCAAATACTCCTGAGTTTTTTCCCTAAAGAACCGATTGTCAAATATGGGCCAAACACCTGACCACAACAGTCCCTGCTGCTATCCCATGATTGTGCACATGCAGACAGGTCTGTGTTCACATCCATACAGTCTGAACATGGGTTTGAGCCAGGAAGCCTGAATTTAAATCCCAGTTTAGCTCGTCCAAAGTATGTGCCAGGCATGGTGGCGCACGCCTGTAATCCCAGCACTTGGGAGGCTGAGGCAGGAGGATCTTTGCGAGTTGGAGACCAGCCTGGGCTGCGAAGTGAGCTCAAGACCTTGTCTCAGAAAGACCAAAAAAAAAAAAAAGTGTGTAACCTCAGGCAAATTATTTAACTTGTTTCTTGGAATCTTTTTCTGTAAAAACAGAATAATTCTGTAAAATGGGGATGGGGAATAGGACCTAGCCTGTGGAGTTATTGTAATGGCTCAAGGCAGGTAAAATACTTAGAATAGCACCCCACACATAGTACGTAATAGTAAGCCTTTAGTCTCTCTCACTTTTCTTTCTTCTTTCTTTCTTTCTTTCTTTCTTTTTTTCTTTCTGTTTTGTTTTTGCCTTTTTGAGACAGGGTCTCACTCTTCAGTTCAGGCTGGCCTTGAGCTCACTTTGTAATCCAAGCTGGCCTCGAACTCCCAGCGATCCTCCTGCCTCAGCCTCCCAAGTGCTGGGATTACAGGCATGTACCACCACACCCGGCATCTTTCTTTCTTTCTGTCCAGGGCTTGAAACCAGGGCCTTCACACTAAGCTATATCCTGTAACCCGCCCCAGCCCCACTTTTGAGACAGGGTCTCACTAAATCACTAAGTTGCCCCTGGCTGGGCTCAAACTTGTGATCCCCCCCCCAAGAGCACTGTGTCTGCAGGTGTGTGCCACATCGGGCGTAAGCCTCTAATTAATGTTTCATGTGCAGTTGTATGTCCCCAAGTTCACGCCCATGCACATCTGCAGGTCACACCTCTGAAAACACACTGAACCCAAGTTCAAAGGCGGCTAAGGACCGACGGAGGGCAGCCCATGGGACATGGTCCAGGCTATGGCAGATGCAAATTGGCAGGTGGACCCATGCAAGGGACATAAGGACACAGTCCACTGATGCTCCCCAAGGAGCTGATGTCAGGACAGGAGGCCAGGGCTGGCTTCTGGACACTACACTTCATCTTTCTCAAAAGGCTGAGAAGCGAAAGGGCTGGTTTGATGAGTGGGAGAAAGAAAGCTAAAATGAGTCGGGGGTGTATTCAGGACCCGCTATACAGATTTTCCCTTTTGAGCTTCCTTCTTTCCCCTCCTACCTTCTGCCTTCTGCCTTTGGCTTTATTCATTCACACATCCATTCCCTCAGGGAGAGCTAGGTGGAGCTCTTAGGCCTCAGAGATAAAAATAGTTCTCTTTATCTAAGAGGAGCAGAAAGTGTTTGTCCACAAGAAGACTTGACAGTGAATGTTCCTGGTTGGAGTAGCCCCCAGCTGGAAACCACCTTAAACCTCCCATCCATAGATGAATGGAGAAATAAATTTTGGAGAATACATACAATGGAGACTTGCTCAATGAAAAGGAACTTTTTTTTTTTTGTCTTTTTGAGACAGGGTCTTACTATGCAGTTCAGGCTGGCCTTGAGCTCACTTTGTAGCCCAGGCTAGTCTCGAACTTGCAATGAACTTGCAACGATCCTCCTGCCTCAGCCTCCCGAGTGCTGGGATTATTGGCATGCATCACCATGCCCACCTGAAAAGGAACTGCTGACCTCTGAGCCAGCATGGATGCATCTCAGATTAATTAAGCCAGTGAAAGCAACCAGGAAAAAAGTGTCCCTGCTGTACTTTTTATATACAATCTTTAAAAATGCAAGGTTGCTAATAGTGACAAACAGCAAAGTGGTAGTTGCTGGGGGTTGGTGGTAGTGGGAGGGACAGATTACAAAAGGCCCAGTGGGACTCTTGGAGATGATGTCTGTGCTCTTATCTTGATTGTGGTGGTAGTTTCATGGATTCATACGTAGGTCAAAATTCATCAAACCATCCAGTGCAATATGTGCAGTTTATTGTATATCCATTATGCCTTGATAAAGCTATTTATCCCTTCAGCAGCTTAACCCAGTGTCACTCCAGCAGCATGTTTGTTTATGTGCTATCTCGAGCATCACCAGGGCAGGTGTCATTTCAACCACTCAATTCTTCTATTGAATACGTTTAATAAAATTGTCATTTTTATATTTCCTATTATATTATCTTATAAATTTATAAAAAACTATGACCAATTTTTGTCATCTGGTATTTAAATAATTAGGCTGGTAAGTGGTTAAAAAGCTCACAATACCCAGGCGTAGAGGTATAGACCTATAGTCCCAGCTACTCAGGTGGCTGAGGCAGGAGGATCGCTTGAACCAACAAACTGGAGGGCAGCCCAGACAACTTGGTGAGATCTGTCTCTAAAGTGTCCACAGTGCTTGCCCTCAGGTGGGACAGGAGGAAGGGAGGCTACAGACACACAGGCAGCTCCTGTGGGAGGCAGGGAGGGCACACTGGTAGTAGGCAGAGTGGAAGCAAAGGCGGGAGTCGGGGTGAGGAGTCAGGGCCGGGCCCTGGCTCAGCTGCATGGTGGGACATGAAGTTAGAGAGCTGGTCTGGGCCAGAACGTTTCCTTATCGCTCTTCTTCCTGCCCCATGTCTGTCTCGTGTCCGTCTACCCCTCCTCCAAGCCCACAGTCCTTACCTTGTGACCTCTCACAGGACGGGGCCCTGGACCTTCTGAAGAAGCTGAACAGCTGTCCAATGTCCATCCAGCTGCTTCAGGTGTGGGGTAGCCCCTGGGACAGCACGTCTGGGGGAGGGAAGGGCCCTGGGGGGAGTCCGGCCAGGGTGGCACCTGGAGGAATTTCCCAGGGGAGCCCTGGGAAGGGAGGGGCATCTTGAGGTATTGATGTGGGGGATGGAGGTGTCTTGTAGGGACAGAATACTTTCTGGGCTTGGGGAGCCCTTGGGTCTAGGGAAAGGCTGATTTGCTTTCCTTGCATACCCTCCCATGTCCCAAGGCCCTGGCCTGTGGGATCCAAGAGGTCCATGGCCCAGGGAGAAGGAAAAGTCTCTCAGTTTTCGATCCTCCCTGATTGTTCACACAGCCCACAAACTTCATAGACACGCCCAGCTCTGAAAGATGTGTGCAGGTCCAAGCTGTAGAAGCCCATCAGCAACCCTCCAGCTTTTCACAAAAGCAGTTACCTGTTTTGTGTGGGGGGGTTGTCTTTTTGAGACAGGGTCTCGCTATGCAGTTCAGGCTGGCCTTGAGCTCACTTTGTAGCCCAGGCTGGCCTCGAACTTGCAAAGATCCTCCTGCCTCAGCCTCCCTAGTGCTGGGATTACAGGCGTGCGCCATCACACTTGACTGTTACTTGTTAATAGAGGGCTGAGCCTTGGGCGCTGGGCCTTATGCAGGGAGGCAGATCAGGGCCTCAATTACAGGAAAGCTACAGGTTTGGGGTTATTCCCCAGCCATGGGTCAGGAAGGACTCTGGAGGTAGGTTTGGAGGAGGTGGTGGAGCTAGTCCTGCCAATTAGAGCAGCCAGTCCTGTGTGTCCATTGCCAGCCCAGCCCTTATCCTGCTTCTTTGCAGACAACCAGGATTGGGGTTGCTGTTAATGGGGTTCGCAAGCACTGCTCAGACAAGGAGGTGGTGGCCTTGGCCAAAGTCCTCATCAAAAACTGGAAACGGCTCCTGGGTGAGACTTGAACCATGGTTTTTTCCCCCTAGCGCCTGGAAGGGGCACTGCTTGGCTCATAGCAAGCAGTTAGCATATGTTTGTTAAGTGACTTAATAAAGGACAGATGGCCTCTGTCATGTCGTGAAGAATGCCAGTACTGTGTGTGCAAGTATGATGTGCGTAGACAGGCGAGCTTATTGTACATGTGCCTGTGTGCGTGCTCATGTGTTTGTGTGTATACTGCATGTCTGCCTTGGTATACTTGTATGGCTATGTGTGTTGGTGTGTGTGCCAGTGTATTTATGTCCCTGTGAGCATGTATATTTGTGCACACAGGCATGAGTGCATGTGTGTGTGTGTGTGTGTGTGTGTGTGTGTGTGTGTTGGGAGTGTAAGCAGCTGTCCCCATCCGTGCCTTTTGGTCCCTCCTCCCCAGAGGTATGCAGGGTTCTTCTGCTGAGGAGGAGCTCAGTTGAGAGACAGTGTCACTTTTTTTGTGTTCAGAATCCCCAGGATCTTCCAAAAGACAGGAAAGAGAAAAAGCAAAGAAGAAGAAGAAAAAGAAGGAGAGAGGGCTTGCCTGTTCGGACTGGAAGTCGGAGGCAGCCCTTTCTCCGCCCAGGAAGAAACGAGAGGAAGAACCCAAGAACAGGTACTTTTTCTGGGATGGAGAGGTGGGGACTGACACTTGTCACATCCTCCGTCGGCAGCTTTGGGTCTACCCTTTCATGAGGCGTCGCAGTGCCAGGAGGCGGATGTTACGGCTCCCGCAGTACTCCCCCCGGGGGCTTCGGCTCATCTGACTGCCGTGTAAGGCCACAAGTGCCACTGGATAGAAAGATACAGGGACACAGTGTGGCAGCTTCAGGCCTTGCTCATCCTCAGCAGCTCTCACAGGGGGCCACAGCCACCCAGGGCTGTCCTCTGGATCACCCAGGGAAACAGATCACAATGACAGGGAGCCCCTGGTGAGAAGCCCCATGTCTCAAACATGGTGACTGTCCCATAGAGAAAGCTTCTGGGATCCAGTAAGGATAATATCCACGGGGGCTGGGGATTTAGCTCAGCGGCACAGCGCCTGCCTGGCAAGCGCAAGGTCGTGAGTTCCATTCCCGGTACCAGAAAAAAAAAACAAAAAAGGATAATATCCACTGGCAAGATCCTCTAACCCATAGGCAGCTGAAAGCTGTGGTTTTCCACTAAGTGTCTGTAGTTTATTCACACTTTACCGGTTGGGTCATTTGTGCTGTAATGTAGTTGCCTGGTAACATGGCCAGCACTCCACAGTTTGTGAGGCCGGGAATTTATTTGTCCATTAAGAGCAGATGTTGGGTTAAATCTTTACTCAACATTCCTATTTAGCCACAAGGGAGCTGAAGGTCGGAGGAGCAAGGACTTTCTCTAGATCACACAGCTATGAAGAGAGCGGAATTTAAATCTTTGTTGGGCCTCCGCCCCTTTGCGGAGAGTTACAGAACAGTTGTTTGTCTCAACTCTACCCCTGCCCCTCCTTCCCTGCTCTAGCCAGGGAGTCCCCCAAAATCACAGGAGACTTGGGGAGGGCTCCGGTGCCACATCCATCGTGGTAGATTAACGCTTTGATGGATGTGTACATAAGTGAGCAAGGAAGATTGCTTGAGACCAGGAGTTTGAGGCCAAACTGGACAGCATAGTAAGATCCTGTCTCAAAAAAAGAAAAAAATCAGAAACAAAGCAAACAAAAGCAGGTAAGTTTTACCTGTTCTCTGTGTGACCAGATCGCTTCATTTCTTGTGAGTTTATTCATTGTCATAGTTACTTTTCTCTCACTGCTGATACAAAATACCACATGCACAAAGTTAAAGGGGGAACGGTTTACTTAGCTCAGATTATAGAGGCTTCAGTCCATAATCAGCTGGCTCCAGGGCAGGGTGGCATCACAGAGGAGAAACAGTTCAAGGGGGGGGCAGAAGGTGGCAAAGCAACAAGGGAGGACCCCAGCTCTTTCTATCCCTTATATCTTATCCAGGGTACTTAGGGCGGGTACACTCACACCTTAAACCTAGCACCCCTGATCCTAGCGTTACACCATGAATCAATCCCAGCGCATTATACACTCTGGATCCAGCCACATCTGAAAAAGCCTGACCTATGACTGCATGAGGCTTTGGAGGAACATCTATATCCAAACATAACACTCATCTGGGAGATAAGGGGTGGTACTAGGTAGCACCTAACTAAATACACCTGCTATACAAGAGACTTTAGCATTTTCAATATATCTGTCTGTTGACCCAGGGTATCTACTGTGTGGAACTCATTTTGAGAAATTAATCAGATGAAAGCAGAAAGGTTATGGTCTATGTGAAACTTCTTTCTGGTGGTGTTTCTGAAATATTTTAGAAATCTGAGTGTTTGTTTCTTTTCTTTTCTTTTTTTTTTTTTTTTTTTTTTTTTTTGTCTTTTTGAGACAGGGTCTCGCCTTGCAGTTCAGGCTGGCCTTGAGCTGACTTTATAGCCCAGGCTGGTCTTAAACTCACAATGATCCTCCTGCCTCAGCCTCCCGAGTGCTTGGATTACAGGCATGTGCCACCATGCCTGGCCAAGACCTTGTTTGTTTTTAGATGCTGAGGCTCAAACCCTGGGCCTTGCATAGGCTGGGCAAATGCTCTAACCCTTCTGAACCTTTTTTAAATGAATGTTTATCGTAATTGTATAAAATTATTGTTTTGTGGCCAATACTTTAGGAAATGAGGCTGTGAGAGGAGTGATTCTCAACCAGGAGAGAGATATTCCCCAACCTCCCGCTCCCATTTGTTATCTTTTTTTTTTTGTTTTTTTTCTGGTACCGGGAATCGAACTCACGACCTCGCAGGCGCTGTGCCACTGAACTAAATCCCCAGCCACTTCCCATTTGTTATCGTAAAAGAAATAGCTGTGATGGCAGAGCATAGTCCCACACTGAGAACCACAGTAAGTCCTCCCTACCTGTGGGCTCCACACATATGGGTGACATCCATGAATTCAATCAAGTGCAGAGCAAAAGAGTTTGGGAAAAATCTCTACTGAACATAGACATTTTTCTTGTCATTATTTCCTAAATAATATGGTATATCAAGTATCTACATAGCAGTTACATTATGTTTTATAACATAAATCTAGAGATTTTTAAAAGTCTCTAGATACGAGAGGGTGTGTGTATGTTGTATGCAAATGCTGCAGCATTTTATATAAGACACTTGAGAATCTACAGATTTTGATATCTGTGGAATTTCCTGGAAGCACTTTCCATGGACAGAGGAATGACTGTGCTTTTTAGTTTAAAATGTTATTGGGTACTCAATGTATTAACGATTGTGGTTTTTTATTTGTTTATTTTTTTGTTGCTTTGTTTTGTTGTTGTTGTTGTTGTTTTTGAGACAGGGTCTTGCTTTGCATTTCAGCCTGGCTTTGAGCTCACTTTGTAGCCCAGGCTGGCCTTAAACTCGCAAAGATCCTCCTGCCTCAGCCTCCCGAGTGCTGGGATTACAGGTGTGCACCACCATGCAAGGCAGGGATTTCTTTTAAAAGCTTAAAGGACAACAGGTGTGGGACAGGAGGCCATTGGAAGCAGAAAGCCAGGTTCTGCCTGAACTCGACCTCTCATTCTCTTCCTTAATCTCTGAATGACTTGTTAGTGTGACCTGAAAAAACATCACCATCTCATTTCTTTCTTCTGAAAATAAAATATTTAATTTGTTATGTACTATATTTATTATTTTTACTGTAGTTAGTTTATTATACAGGTAATCACTTGCTCATTGTAGAAAGTTTTATAAATACAAATACTCATAGCTCAGTGGTAGGAGGCGCTTACCTAGCATGTGTGAGGCCCATGGCTTGATCCCCGGCATTAAAAACCAAAAATTACCAATCAAGAAAATTTTTTAAAGGGGCTGGGGATTTAGCTCAGCAGCAAAGTGCCTGCCTGGCAAGCGCAAGGTTGTGAGTTCGGTTCCCGGTACTGGAGAAAAACCAAAAAAAAAAAAAAAAAGAAAATTTTTTAAATTATCCATTGCTAGGGCCGGGAATATAGCTCAGTGGCACAAGCACCTGCCTGGTGAGTGCAAGGTCCCGAGTTCAATTCCCGGTACCAAAAAAAAAGTAAAATAAAATTATCCATTGCTTAGAAACAAGTACATAGGGCCAGGGATCTAGCTCAGTGGCACAGTGCTTGCCTGGCAAGTGCAAGATCCTGAGTTTGATTCCTGGTACCAAAAAAAAAGAAACAAGTACATAATATATATTGCATATATACACATATAATTTTTATATAATTTATATGTGTATTATATATATTTTCCTATGTATTATTACTCAAAAAATTCTTGTTTTAATAAAACAGGATTATACTCTGTATACTATTTTGCAAGCTTTTTGCCTACATATATTCACTCATGTCAGCAGTAAATCATGCTCAATATCAACACTTAGAAAATGAAGCACAAGGAGAAATAACACCGTGAACATATTGATGTATATCTTTCTAGTCTTTTGAGAACATATCTATGCACATTTGTATTTTCTTAATAGAAGTTGAAGTACAATATGTGATATTTTCTGGGATCCTGACAGCTCACTTTTCGTAGGGCTTAGAGCTCTGAAATGTCACTAGGGCCGAGCAGAGACGGGCCACATCTCCCCAGCCTGCTGGAAGGAGTGAGCTACCCGCTGTGAACCTATTTCAGTTCAGTTAATGAACTACTTTTCACTTTTCTCTTCCTCCCTTCCTCCCTTCCTTTCCTACTCTTTCCTTCATGCCTTCCTTCCTTTTGGAATAGTGAGAACTGAACCCAGGGATACCTCTATCACTCAGCTATATCCCCAGTTCTACTGATTTGATTGATTGACAGAGTCTTGCTAATTTATACAGACTGGCCTCAAATTTGAAATGCTCCTGCATCAGTCTACTGAGTAGCTGGGATTATAGGCATGTGCCACCACACCCAGCTCACTTTTCTTTTTCTTTCTTTTTTCTTTTGCTTTTTTTTTTTTTTTTTCTTTTGCTGTGCTTTTTGAGACAGAGCATTGCTATGTAGTTCAGGCTGGCTTTGAATTCACTATGTAGCCAGGCTGTCTTCGAACTTGCAGTGATCCTTCTGCCTCAGCCTCCCAAGTGCTGGAATAACAGGTGTGCACCACCATGCCCATCTTTTTTTCTTAATCACTCATTATCATTATTTGTTAAACAAACATTATAGCCACATTAGTGAAATACGAAATGAGAAACATCTTCCCACAGCATACAGCCCTGGCAAACGATCTACCTATGTACATAATTTTTATATTCCTGTAGGTGGAATGCATAAACTATGGACTCCTTTTGGTCTTTCTATTGCATTCCAAGCTTTTTTTTTTCATATTCCTGAATAGTTTCCCTAACAATTATTTGTAATACCTGCAGAATATGTCTACCGTGTTCTCATAAAATAAACAATGAGGCGAGGCCAGAAAGTGGTGGATTTCCAGGTTCCATCCGTGCTTGCCCTCCTGTCTTCCGCTGCAGCTGGCACCTCTCCACCCGCAAGGGACATTTGGGGAGGAAGCTCAAGGAGAAATGCCCAAGGCCAAGTGTGGGACAAGAGGAGCATGTGAGCGAGGTGTCTCCTCTCCCTCCCTGGGTACTGCCTCCCCAGCGCTGTGTTTAAACTGGGGTGAGGGTTGGAGCTGGATGGGTCTGGCCCACAGGATGAGTAGGGCTGGTCCCAAAGCTGCCTCATCCTATCTCCCAGAGCACTTGAGCAAATGAGGTGGAATCTAGGAATCTCTGCAGACGATGCACAGCCTAGGAAGCAGGATCATCCGGACAAGCTGGAGCTCAGAAGCCGAGGGTGAGGGCGCCCTGAGGGCTTCTCTGTGCTGGGAGCTGCCCTTGGGATATAAAGATCTCAGGTCTTTTTCCCAGCAAGCCCCAATGCATAGGTACCTTTCCTTCCATCTCATAACTGAGGGAACCGAGGCTCAGAGAGAATGACCTGCCCAGGCAAGGCTGGGATGACAACTCAGGTACCTGACTCCTGTTTTAGTATTCTGAAATATCTGTGCGTATGTGCATGTGCTTGCGTGCATGTGTGCGTGTGTATGTGTGTTTGTATGCAGGTAGATAAAGGTTTGGGAGGAAAAACAAGCTCCATAGCATTGCTGAGGATGTAGCTCAACAGCACAGCACTTGCCTAGCATATGCAAAGCCCTGGGTTCCATTCCCAGAACCACCAAAATAAGTAAATAAACCTAACAGTTGTTACCCCTGGGAGGTTTCTTTTGCCACCTTTTTACATTTCTGGACTATTTGACTTCACGGCATTCAGCAACAAATCCTTAGAGAGCACCTGTTCAGCACCAGGCACTGTTATACGCTTGGAGTAAAGCCAGACGCATATGCGGTTGGGGTTCTCAGAAGCAGACGCTGACACGTGGATTCAGGTGCAAGTGGTTCATTTGGGAAGTGAGTCAGAGATGCAGGCAGAGGAAGGGGGAGAGAGATGGGGAGGGGAGGCAGCCAGCACCGTGCGTGTGTGCGTGTGTGCGTGTGTGTGTGTGTGTGTGTGTGTGTGTGTGTGTGTGTGTGTGTTACTAAGCAGCTTACTGCTGTGGGCACCAGGAGAGCACACGTCAAGTTGCCCCCCTGGAGGACATCTATCCTCGGCTCCCTCGTCTTCTGCCTGAGGGCTGCTGCTGGGTCCCTACCTCCTCAGCTCTTCTAGCCCACCTGGCTGCCCTGGAGAAGACCCGGAGGCAGAGGCCCAGGGAGTTTACAGAGGAATCCTGGGCACCAGGACCCTGGGAGGATGTGTGCCTACGGGGAAATGAGCTCAGCACAGAGTCCACCATGGTGACCAAAACCCGGTGAACTCTGCTCTTGGGAATTTTCCTGGAGAATGGTTAGACAATAAATATAATAAGGAAGGAAATTATATAGTATGTTTGTGATAGTTAATTGTGCCAATTTGAGTAAGAACGCCCGACTGGCCAGGGATGGTGGCACATGCCTATGATCCCAGCACTTGGGAAGCTGAGGCAGGAAGATCGCCATGAGTTTGAGGACAGCCTGGGCTACATACATAGTGAGTTCAAGGCCAGCCTGAATTGCATAGTGAAACCCTGTCTCAAAAAGACCCAAAAGAAAGAAAGAAAGAAAGATTCAACTAAATTGGATCATTATAGTTCTGGGTGTGGCTGAAGGGATTTGCTGAAGACAGAAGACCCACCCTGGGTGTGAATGCATGAACTGGCTTGCCATCTGAATGGAATGGAATAACGGGGAGATAAAGAAGGAGGGATCGGTTCTGGTTCTTCAGAGGAGCTCCAGGCTTCACCTTCACCTTGGACATCATTTTCCAGCACAGACTCTTCATCCTCCTGCTGCAGACTTGCACAGGACACTGCAGGGCACTCCAGGCCTTTGACTGCTCCCTTCGGCTCTCAGCACACAGACAGCCTGTTTGCACCTGACTCCGCAGGCGGCCGTTATAAGCCCATCTTGTAAATCCTTGTGTAGTTATGTATCTTGCATTAAATCTGTTTCTCTAGTAAGCACTGAGTGACACAATGTTAGAAGGTGACTCATGCTGTGGAATTAGAAGAAAAATTGGATAAGAAGATGGGGAAAGTCAGGCACGATGGTGGCACACACCAAACCCCAGCACTTGGGAGGCTGAGGCAGGGAGGTTCACCGTGAGTTTGAGACCATCTGGGGTACATAATGAGCTCAAGAACAACCTGGACTACATAGTAAGACCCCATCTCAAAAAGGAAACAGAACAAAACAAAAAACAAAAACAAAAAGATGGGGAATGGAATTTACAAACACTAATTTTATAAAACCAATAAAAGGAAAAAGAATAACAAGAATATAGCTAACCGCACTGTGGAAAATGAAAAAAGAAAAACTTTCTCACCTCTAATCTCATTGCTCTAACCTGACAGTGGTTATCGCAGATGGATGTATTTTCTTTCACCTTTTTTCTTCTAGGCATTGGTTTTCTTGCATGACTTGAGGTACGACATACGTCTAATTTGTCCCTTGTCATCTTAAATTCGGTTCTCCTCTCCTCTTCCTAAGGCGCCCTGCAGGGAAGCCCGAGGCCCCTCTCTTGTGTTCTCTGACAGCAATCTCAGGAATCCGGTCCCCATGGACTCCAGCCACCAAAGCATGCCAAAATGAGGGGGGACAGGGGCCCACTGAGATCTCGATAGGAGGAATTAGTTAATGACATGATGGAATGTGATGCAGATGCAGTGTATCTGCAAATATTAGGTGGGGGAGGCAGGAGTGAGCAGCCAGCACTGCTTGGGCCTTCCTCCCCGGGCCAGCTGTGGCCCAGGCCTCGCTCTGGGACGCCTTCTCCTAGCCTATTGGGACATTAGTACTGTTGCTGGCAACAAAACCATGTAATCTCGTTGCTCTTCTTTCAGGAGAGATTCTGTGGACTCCAGGTCTTCTGCTGCCTCCTCTCCGAAAAGGCCATCGATGGAAAGGTAAAGGAAGCCGCAGACTTCTCCACTGCGAAGGTCCTGTTCAGTGCATGTTCCTCTCTCTGGTTGATCAAAGAAGCCCAAGGGAAGCAGGGGGAAGGGGATCCCTTGTCTGTTATGCTGCCTCCAAATTCTAGGACCCACCCATGTGGTGGTGGCTGACCACATGCATTGCTCCATCCCTGTGTGGGAAACACTCTGAAGGTCAAGTTGAACCCACTAAGGACAAGGATCTTGGAAGCCTGTCCTGGGAGTGTTATTTCTAGATGTGGACTGAACTGGGTAGGGGATCCACCCTCAGGTACCAAAAAATCACCAAATCTCTCATTCATCGGATATGTATGGAGGGCCTAGGAACTGTTCCAGGCACCAGGGATACGAAAGGGAATCGAAGAAACAAAAATCATCACAGTCTTATTACATACAGTGAGTACATTATACAGTGGCCCAGGAGGTGACAGCGGCTGTGGAAACAGTAGAGGGAAGGGAAGGGGTTGAGGAAGGATGGTGATCAGAATGATGAGAAAAGGTCACTGGCGAGGTGGCCTTTGGGCAAATGCTGGAAGGAGGTGAGGGAGTTAGCCCTGCAGACATTGGGGTCTTTGCAAGCTGAGTGCAATGTGCCCGACAGAGTCAGAGACCAGTGAGGTGGTGGGAGCATACTGGGTGAGCGGTGAGGGTTGGAGGAAATATTTTCAGGGTCATCTACAAACCAAAACTGCTGGAGGGCGTTGAGCATGGGATTGTATCACCAGATTTGTGAGGTTTGCCCTGCAGGTCCAGACTGGGAGCTGAGAGCTGGTGGGATAATTCAGACAAGATGTGACAGTGCTTGCGTTGGGGTAGCAGTGGGGCTATAAGAAGAAGGGGTGGGCAGGGGGACACATTTTGAAGAGAGCGCTGACAGGGTTTCCTGACATTGGACGTGGGGTATGAGACAAAAAGAAGAGTCAAGAACGATTCCAAGATTTTTCCCTTCCGTCTCTGTAAGGGTAGAGTTTCCATTAGTTTAACTGAGGAAGACTGTGGAGAAATTAGGGCTGGGGCAGAATATCAGGAATTCAGGTTTAGAAGCCAGGTGTGTAGTGCACACCTGTAATCTCAACATTCTGGGAGGCTGAGGCAGGAAGATCACAAGTTCCAGCCCAGCCTAGGCATTAGCAGTTTACAGAGATCTTCTTTCAAAAATGAAAAAGGGCTGGCAATGTAGCTCAGTGCAAAAGTCCTGGCTCTACACTCAGTATGGCTAAAAAATAGAGATAAAAGAGTTCAGGCTTGGATGTGTGGATTTATACTGTGTGTTAAGTTATTCAAGCAGAGAAGTTGGATAAAGTTATTCCAAGGCTAGAATTCAGGAAGAAAGTCTAGGTGAGAAATATGAATTTCAGCCATTAGAAGAGATGTGAATGAAGGACCGAGTGTGGGTTTTTTTTGTTTGTTTTTTTCTTCTGGTACCAGAAATCGAACTCACGACATTGCGCTTGCCAGGCAGGCGCTGTGCTGCTGAGCTAAATCCCCAGCCCCAGAAGGACCGAGTGTGAATCATTCCGGAGGTCAGAGGAGCAGACTAGGGGAGACAGGGCAAGTCAGGAAGTGGCTTGGAGGTGGATCGAGGCAAAGGATGAGGGGCCAGGGGCCACACTGGGCTGCCTGGTGGACACTGAAGGCATTGGTTTCTACGAGAATACATAGAGAGGTGGATGAGTTATTTCAAGCCTAATGTACCAGGAAGACTGCCATTGGAAAGAAGAAGGGCACAAAAATCAGGTCATGTAAGGCTTTATGCGACTAAGCAGACCTGCGGCATGGCAGCCAAGTGCCAGCTCCAGCTGATGCGTGGAGACTTCCCTGAGCACCATCAGGGGAGGGAGTTAAAACTGTGCCCCGCCTCTGAAGAAAAAAATTCTGCGGTCGATTAGTAATGTCTGCCATGAAGGAGGCCTGGGAACAGGCGCTCCAGTGTGGTCCTGGTTCTCAGCAGGGCTCATTCAGAAATTTGTGGAAGTACTTTTGGTTGTTGCTATGAGTTAAGCAGGCGGCAGGGGAGAGACAGGAGACACTCCTGGCGTGAAGCAGGCAGGGGCTGTGTGATGCTAAGGGTCCTGGAATGGGAAGGAAGGGCCTGCATGCAGAAGCATTGTTCTGTTCCCAGTGGAGCACTGACCACTCACCCAGTTCTGGGCCTGAGGCTGGAATGAGCACATTCCACAGTGACGTAAGGATTTATACTGCTCCAGACTCCTCTCCTGGGTTTGCTTCATGGCCTTGAAGCTGCCTGACTCCCTCTCCTGATCCACTTCTTCCCTGAGGGTCTGTCAAACAGACGGTCCTTCTGGTGGCCGTACCATTTCCTGTTGGTTCAGTTTTAGGGGTGGATGACCAAAGGGACACAAGCAAGTCTTAAGGATTCACTTTACCCCAGTCACACTTTTTCTTGCACTCTCTGCCTCTGCATCTTGTCTTTCTTATTCATCTGCTGTGCACTGACAAACATATCTCAACATCCTCCCTGGGTCAAGGACACGTGCACACCCTGAGTAACCAGCAGAGACCACGGCAAAGTAGGAAGTATGTGCCCAGCTGATTGCAGCCTTGTGGAAATGTGGGCCCAGAGTGACACATCGTTTAGGGCTTTGGGGTCTTTGCATTTGTTTTTTGTTTGTTGAGATGGGGGTCTCACTACGTTGCCCAGGCTCATCTTGTACTCCTAGACTCAAGCAAATCTTCTGCTTCAGCCTCCTGAGTAGCTGGGACTATAGGCATACACCACCCTGCTGGATTCTTTTCCTGGTTGTTTTGTTTTTGTTTTTGTTTGTTTGTTTGTTTGGTTGTTTTATGTGTGTTTGTGTATGTGTCTTTTTGAGGCAGGGTCTCGCTATGCCATTCAGGCTGGCCTTGAGCTCACTTTGTAGCCCAGGCTGATCTCGAACTCGGCAACGATCCTCTTGCCTCAGCCTCCCGAGTGCTGGGATTACAGGCGTGCAGCACCACGCCTGGCTGGTTGTTTTTTTTTGGTTTTGTTTTTTTGCTTGCTGGGGATTGAATCCAGAAATGCTCTACCACTGAGCTATATCCCCAACCCTTTATTTTAAGACAGTATCTCACCAAGTTGCCGACGCTCACCTTTAGTGATCCTCCTGCTTCAGCCTTCTAAATGTCTGGGATTATAGGTGTGTGCCACTGTGCTCAACTTGTTTTCCAGTTTTTGTTTTTAAAGGAAAGTTAGACATGTAGATTTTCATATGAAACTTCTAATGGGGGGATCTGAAGATTGACCCCAAGGCCTTTGCACTGAGCTACATCCCAGTCCTTTTAAAAAGTTTTTAAATTTTGAGGCAAGGTCTCTCACTAAGTCACTGAATTGCCCTGATTGAGCTCAAATTTGCAGTCCTCTCGCTTCAGCCTCACAGAGTGCTGGAATTACAGGCATGCACTATAACGCATGGCTGAAAGCCCTATCTTTAAGTATGGGCAACATATTCTTATGTTTCTAAGACACAGCAGGACACAAAACATTATTTGCAGACTGACCGTTTGCAGTCTGTAAGGCCAGGCTAACACTGAAACTCACAATCCCAGATTTTTGTGGATCTAACCACTGGCCCAGAGGCACACACCAGAGTGCTTGCTCTTCAGAGGGAGTAGCAGTAACAAGGGGAACACAGGAAGGAGGGCTCAGCGTGATGGGAAGAGTCAAGGAAGGCCTGGGAGAGCGTTTTTCGAACCGGGAACTGAAAGGTAGAGAGGAGTTTGCCTGGCAGGCTGTCGGGGAGAAAGCTCCCCAACCGGCGGGAACAGCACATGCACAGCTGCGGCAGGAAGGGTAAGTGGTGCTCTGGGAACTGTAGCTGGAATACCAGGACACTGACTGCGAAGGGCGCCCTGGTGGCAGGGAAGGAAGCCGCACTTTTCTCAGCTGCCTTTAACCTGGCCGTCAGAATCCTTGGAATTTGGCGAAGCAGCTACGGTACGCTGCAGTTGGCAATGCAGTAACAGAAATGCCCTCGAGGCGGCGCACAGGAGCGGCGAACGGGGCTTTCAGAGGCGGTTGCCCAGACCTGGGGCAGGATTTTCTAACGGCTGGTGATTTTGCTGACACATCAGGGAGCAGAAGGAAGCTGGTGATGAGTCCAATCCACTGCCCCTACTCCTGCCAGCGATGCTCTCTTTGCAGTCTGGCGTGGTTTCCAATTCTGTGCATTGAAACAAAATGAACGCGGCCCCTGAAATGCTGCCCAGACACAAATCCCAGCCACCCAGCGGTGTTCCGTGCCCAGAAGCGCTCCAAGCAGCCTTGCCTTGCTCCAGTAAGAGGGCTCTGGAAAGCTCTACTGGAGACATAGTGACAAGTGTTGAAAAGAATCGGAAAGGCAAACAGACCTCGGTTTGTGGCGACTCTGCCTTTTGGTAGTTGGATGGGTGATCTTGGACAAGTCAGCTCAGGTCTCTGAGACAGTCTGTTGATCCGTAAGATGGGAGTAATTATGACCCTCCTGTCTGAGGTCATTATGAGGATCAAATGAGGGAAAGCACAGCACTAGCAGGCCTTGGTGTGGCATGGTAGTGCACACCTGCAATCCTACCCTCTGGGAGCTAAGGCAGGTGTATTGCAAGTTTGAGCCAACCTTGGGCAACTCAGTGAGACCCTGTGTCAAAACAAACAAACAAAACACAATAAAAGGGCTGGAGATGTAGCTCAAAGAGAAGACCATGAGTTCAACTCCCAACACCACAATAAATAAATAAATAAGTGGAGAAAAAGGAATGCCTAGCACTATTCCCGACCCATATGTGCTCAATAAATGTATATTGCATAGTGATAACACTTAACATGTACTGTGATCATCTTTATAAATTGCCTAGTACCTTTTAGTGGAATTTTCTTAGGTTCTTTAATCATTTCAACAATCCCTTGCTGGGTGTGGTGGCGCACACCTGTAATCCCAGAACTCGGGAGGCTGAGGCAGGAGGATCGTTGCGAGTTCCAGGCCAGCCTGGGCTAC